AGACATACACGTATAGCTATGGATGTAATATTTAGGCAAGTCTCGCGTGCTTGTACACCGTTTGCGTCGCTGAACACCCGACGAATAGCAAGAGAAGTCTTGGCAGTTTTAGCTTTTTTAGGATTCATGGGCTACTAACCGCTCTTCCCGCTCGAGCCTCTCGCTCATTCATACTACTCTTGCATTTTATTTGTTTTGGCAGTTTGAAATTTCGGATTTTGTCAACTGCCGATCGACATTTTTCGACATTTTTGCTTTTAGATCGTCTACCTTACGCCGTGAAAAGTGTATTTCCAAAAAAAATGTTTCAGATAAATGTTATACTTGACTCTAGGTAATTATGACGAGCTAAAGAGTTCGATTCTTACGACACCAAAAGTACCGTACGTAGAGCAACGTCAGAAATGCATTATCTCCCTGCCGAAACACATAAGAGCTCATTCAATCCGAAGAGAAAACTTTTATCTAACGGCCAAATGGGTAAGAAATTATCCGCGTAGTCGTATACTCTGTGGCGTAATGGGTCATTACATCGTAACAATTTGTTATAGCTTTTAGCATGCTTTACTTTGTGTAGTTAAAAGCATCCCAGTCTTTAGACTTAAACAAAAGATTCCGAGTATATATCGAAGCCTATAACGTTTTGCTGAGAATACCACAAATTTGGTCTTTATCGCTCGATTTCACAACCGAAATAGTAAAATATTACAATTCAAATTTCATTCAGTGCTAACATTGGTGTGGTTAAAAAAAAACTTGAAACATCGATTTTTCGATCATTTACAAACAAGTAAAGTAAAAGTCTTTTTTTGCTAAGGATACCCTTTATAAAAGCAGATTTCATGAGTACTGAATTGTTACTTTTAAAAATAAATAACAGTACTTTTTAAAATATCTACGTAAAATGTGTACATTAATAATTATTTCAAATTTATGAAATTAGTACAGTAAACCAGTGAACAACTATAGTAAATAATGGAAACAAGTTTGAACATTTTTTATTTTTCCAAAAATTTGGTGTCAATTTTTGAACTAAGCGAATTGGAAATATCGTTTGGTATGTATCAAATCAAATGAGAATGCGCATGAGAAAACGAAAGATATTACTTCGCCGCAAAGTCTAACATAATCAAAATATTTTACTCGAATGAATAACGCCTGAGGTTGAAAACTCACTTCAATATCGCCATCTATTCTATAATCCATGATCCACCCATGCTGTTTGCAAGAAAAAAAAAGATTATTATCACGTGTCCAAGCTCAGTCGTGGGTACAAATGGGAAAAGCCGCCGAATTGATAAAGCTGCATCACAATCAAATAAACGCACTCTCGAAAAAGCGTCGAAGAGCAAAACTCTATAAAGAATCGTAATGGGAGTGTATGTAAAAAAAAGAGGGGTAGAAGTAGAAATGGTATTACAACGGGAGCAGCGACACGTCACATCGTCATGATTAAAGCATCGTCACAGGCTGCACAGCTTCCTGCACAGTCATGACTATCCATTTACGGGAATAGCTGCGCACGCGAAAGCTCATATAGTAGCAACTCACACAGACGCACGCGCTCGTATACACGCGCACTCGCAAAAATGCTGCTCATATATAAATGACCAGTGTACGCATTTTTGCCGCGGAATAAAAATCTGCTTGGTGTCGTGCAGGACGAGGGTGTGAGAGCGAGACATAACTAAAGCACCGTGACATTTATATTCATTCGTGGTTCCGCTTTAAACTCCACGAGTCCAGCCCGCCCTATCCTCTTGGATCATCTCACTCTCTCCTTTTTCTCTCTTTCTTTCCCTCTCTATTTTTCTCGCAATTACGCATGCATATAGCTTGTATCCTTTCCGTTTTTTGTTCCTCTTTTCACCTCTCTATCTCACTCTCTGATGTCGCGATGCATTTTACTGGGTTTTTGAAATTTTATCCTCCGTGCATCGTCATAGCTGTACACACACGCTTACGTATTTTCGCACATCTACTACTTTTACGCGTGTGCATTCTCCTTTTTTAAAACTACACACAACCAGCGAGAGGACTCGCACACACAGGCGCGCCAGCGCTGCGGCTTTATAAAGTCCATTTTTCAACGTTATACTACTTTTGTGTAATAATAGCTGGCTGCACAGCAGCGGCGCACGATTCGCTTTGAGCTTTCGCGAGTGCAAGCGCGTAGGTACACACACGTGCTCGGTAGCGCGCTTAGCCCTAGCTCTATACTTTCGAAAGAATTTCACGCACGCCCGCGGGATTTTTTCGCAACACACAAAATATCTTGAGTATTAAGCGCAAGCCACCACGACGTTATGTCTCGCGCGCTCCTATAAAATGTATGTACGCACATGTACGTTATACTTACACTGCCAGCCGACGAGCGTACTGAAGGAATACGGCTTTACTTCGCTCGAGCTTGCGGAAAAATGTATGCGCGACCGAGAAAAAAGCCGTAAGCGTGATTTTAAAAAGTGTATCATTCGCCAGCGGTGACACACTTTTTAACTTATGAGTATTCAAAAAGTAAAGGCCAGCAGCCAAGTTGTACAAATAAAAAGTCCAATACTCGAGCTGAAAAATTGTTCAGATTCAACTTCTGTTTGGGCATAGTGAAGCATTGCTTACTCCAAGCAGATTTGTTGCCTGTAAAGATGACAAATCTCAAGCTACATGCAGCAAACGAAAAAGCAAATGAACCCAATTAATAGAGCAAATACTTTTAACGATAGTAATTTTCGCCCTGAAGGAAAAGGAGACTGTCTCAGGCACATTAAGTTGAACTGTATAAGAGGCCATGCGACGCTTTATATTTTCACTTGGCACATGCACGTCGCCGAGTTTTACTGGATTCACCCTCTCTGGTAGTCACGGATAAAGGTGTACTTTGTACTGCTCCCTTCGTTCTTGCCGCTTGCATTATATAATATTCAAGCTCGCTCCTCCTTCTTGCCCTCGATCACAATTTTTTTTATTTCATTTTTTTTGTTTCTTTTTCACTTCAAGGCTGCGTACACTCGAATACGTACGCGGCTTGCGCCATATCTATGTACGCCCATAGTCGGTCATCGGACAATGCTTGTGCTCAGTTTTTCTCACCAACAAAATTTTTTTTTTCCATCGTAAAAATCTACATGTTTTTAAGAGGAATTTGGATGGGCGTTGTTAGAATTGTATTTACATGCATGCATATTCATTATTTATGGCAACGAAATTCTGGAATTCAAGAGCCACAAAATTATGCGGACAGAGGAAAGTCTCTGTACGTGCGGTAGTTTTCTGTGTGCATTGCTCGGCTCAAACGCGTCATATTTGTTTTCCCCGACGGGAAGCAATTCAATTTGGGATGGTTCATTTTAATACGCTGAATTGATTGAATTAATCTTTTACATTCACCTTTTCAGCATTAAACTTGCAAGCCAACCTTATGCTTTATGCTATCGAGCAAAGTGAACGTATGTGGAATGCACCCGAAATGTGTTAAAAACACATACTTACATTTACTCCAATGGACAAACTAATCTAAAACTACCAACCACCCAAAGTAAAAGTACCTAATAATAATTTTGAAGACTTATTCGAGTTCTCTTTTCAGCATCATCGTGTATATGAACCATGTTGTTATTACGAAAGAGTTGTTAAAAATTTAATTTTCGATTGTATATAGAAACGTCTGTAATTCCCAGGGAAATACAGTCATTGCGACGTCATTGATTGTTTCCTTTAATCAAGATTTTAAAAGCCAAACAGAAATTTTATAGATTCATAAAAGAGCTCGCGAGTGCGAAACTGCTTGGCGTTATATACTAGACCGTGTGCTTTATCACTTGGGAAAGACCTTAACCGCGCGCCCCATATTTCGTACCTCGAAGAATGTAATTTTAAAGCGATTTCTGCGCTTACACCCACTTTAACAACGCATAAAGAGTTGTAAATTGTTTTTATCGACTAGAAAGAAAAAACGGGGTTTAGCAGAGAAAATATCATGCACTTATGAGGTAGAGATGATGAATGAAATAAAAAAATGTCTACCAAAAGACTCGAGGGTGCAATATAAATGTTGCATGATTTATCGGAAGATATATTTGCCTTTGTTACTGCTTTTTATTCATTTCCTCAAAATAAATCTGGATGAGATACTGACAAAGCATAAGCGAAGTATTTATTAAATATAATTAAGTAATTTTTTGTATAGGATATTGGAAATTATATTTTTTAATTGATAACATTATTAAAAAAACTCCGTTCTTTTAATTTAATTGATTTTAACCAATCTAGGTTCTCTTTCAATAATCATTGAAAAATGATTGATTCAGATATATCTATAAACAGATGATTCATTCTCAAAAAAATATTTTCATACATTAGATATATTTCCAATCAATAATTCTTTCACTAGAATATCAGCACCGAAGCTTTTTGATTGTATTACTTTTTATTAGAATTTAAGTTCATTAAAAAAAGTAATTTTCACTGTGAAACCCGTGCATTGTATTAGTCATAACTTTAATATCAATAATAATTATTAACATTGATGTATATGTATAATATCGGAATTTATAATTACAATGTTTATCCGTGATTTTGCTTCAAATTTGTTAATTAGTATTAATTTGATAAAAATAATCAGATAAACAATTTGTTGATACCGTACTGGTATTGATTGGAACCAGTTGCGTGTTATTATTCAAAGTAATAACTTCGCAATCTATATTTGCACGAATTACGAAGCAATAATGTATTGCAGAAAATACGAGAAAATCTAATAATCCATATTTGAACGAGTGAAAATAATATTAAACGAATCTTGCGCGATTCAAGGTAAGAGATTCATGGTCAATGTTACGAGATTCAAGTCGGCAAGAACCGGTATAAATAGCTTGCAAATTTTTCAACGCGTCGCAACGCGTATGACGAGTTAATCAAGGCTGCGGGAAGTCACTATTACTACGCTTGAAACTTTCAACAAGCTGCTTTAAACATGATTTCATTCAATCGCGGTGCGATGTTAATGCTTGCATGTGCAGAGCAGAAACATTCTAACCAGTTGTAGATTTGAACGTAATATTTTGTGCGCGTGCTTCAATAGTTTTTGTGAAAATTTTAAAGATGCAAAGTGAAAAACTTTGTGCGCATATAAAGTTTTCAATCAGTATTATAGTTTAAGTACTAGTACTTTAATAAAGTGATAAAATGGTTATGATAAAATGATAAACAGATACAGAAAAGTTGTTCATGTTTACTGGGAAAAATTTTGCAAAATCAAACTATGGTTATATAGTAATTATTTCTAAAGATACAATAATACTTCAATAGATAAGGTAAACGTAACTATATTTTTACTACAAGCTTCTTAGGATAAAAATTTGTGAAGTACTTCACGGTCATCAGTGAGTTATTTTGTTATGAATGATGTAAATAAAACGTTAAATAGATCATCTTATTGGGGTGTTAAAATTATTAATATCTGCACATTATCAAATTAACCTTGATAATTTATCACATATAAAATTTCATTATCAATCATTATTGCATATGAATAATTATTTTCGGAATTGCAGAAATCTATCAATCACATTTTTCGTTAGATAAATTTCAACCAAAACAATGATGAATCAGATAAAGCCAACGATACGGATATTCAGAAACTCTCCTGTAAATTTGACAGTTCCTTTTTTGAATGAAAGTACCGCTGCCTGCATTTCCAACGCCAAAAACAGCACTGTGGATATCGAGGCTAAATCCTATAAAGAAATACCAGGCCCAAGAGCATATCCCATCGTTGGGAACTTACTTCGATTCTTACCAAAAATTGGTACGTTTCTAATAAGTTTTTAATGCTAGATCCTTTTAAAAAGAGAAAAAAAATTTTTAAAGGTAAATATGGAGATATGGCGATGGATGAGTCTTTGCTCGCTTTTCGCGATGAGTTTGGTCCATTGGTACGACTCGAAGGTATTCCCAATCGCCGACCAGTTATTTTTCTTTTCGACGTTGATCTGTGCGAAAAGATGTATAGACTCGAAGGTGCTTGGCCTTCTCGCGTATCTATCGAGTGTTTGCGCTATTACTCCGAACAAAATAATGACATACGCGACCATGGCCTGAGTGTTAGGTACGTAAATGCACGTTTTACTGAAAAATAATTTTTAGAGATAAGCTCGTAATTGTAAAATTTTAGAATTTATATCGATTGTTCACATCGACTATTTGTATTCTTTTATCGAGTCTTTTTTTTGATTTTTTTCTTTCATTGTTTTCTAATGGACGTACACCGCAGAGTTTCGTGCACGATACAGCGGTAAAAAGATAAAAGAATCACACATAACAAAAAAGAAAAGAAAGAACAACGACGACAAGGCGCCCACAACCGTTCGCTATCCGGATTTATTTGCATTTCCGTAAAGCTTTTTGCATGGCTTCGCTGCTATTTCTAGATCTTCCTTTTTTCTTCTCCCTCTGTTCCATTGTGCGGCAGGGATTGCAGCTTAAATTTTGTCAGCATTCTAAACGATGTATATGCTAGTGCATAATGCAAATGACAAAGAGCAATTGTGAACTTACAATGGTTATTATTAAATGCGAAATCTTTTATTTTTTTCATTTTTTTGTTCTCAATAAAGTCAGGGGCAAGAATGGCACGACTTCCGAACTCGCGTCAATCAACCCATGATGCAGCCACGAACTGTGCGCCATCATCTCACTCAAATCGACTCGGTGACCAATGAATTATTGGACAGAATGGTTCGAATTCGAGACCCGCACAACTTGGAGCTGCCGGCGAGTTTCAATAACGAGCTTAACAAGTGGTCCTTGGAATGTAAGCTCGTGAAATTACACACGTTTCTCGTACAACAGTACACATAACGATTGGTCAATTTTGTCTTGTCGTCCACAGCTATTTGCTTGATAGCCCTGGATCATCGACTGGGATGTTTGGCCGACAATCTACCCCAGGACTCGGAGGCTCAGCGCATGATCAACGCCGTTCACGAGATGTTCGAGCTGATGTACCAGCTGGAACTGCTGCCGAATCTTTGGAAGTACTACAACACACGGAAATTGAAGCGATTTTTCACAGCGATGGATACACTAGTCAAGTGCGTATATTTGCGAATCGCAGGAGATAAAAGTGAGGGCGTTCGTCCCGATGTAATTTCGTGTCGCTTAATTGCAGGACCGGAAATAAGCACATCGCAGCCGCGATGGAGCGTATAAAGCAGCAAGGCCCAACGGAGAGCAACGAGCAAAGCATGCTCGAGAGATTGTGCAAATTTGGCGAGAAAACGGCCCGAGCAATGGCACAAGATATGCTTATTGCCGGAGTTGACACGGTACGCCACATATATACACACTTACATACATCCGCGTGGCGCTTAATTTTCAATCGATACCGCAACGAACAATCGTATCTTTGCATCTTAATGGGCATCGAATCGTACGCGCGTCGTCGCAACGCGCGCAAGTCGGAGGAGAATAAAAAAATTGAAAAAAAAGGCCCGACGCATCGACTGCGGCCTGTGTGCCAGCTAGCGGCGTTTAATGTGGCATTGTTTCTCTTTCGCTTTTGCAGACTGCGAACTCGGCTGGAAAGACGCTCTACCAGATAGCCACGCATCCGAGGGTACAGGAAAAGCTGAGGGCCGAGGTGGACGCTGCGCTGCCTAGCGCCGATTCGCCGTTCACCGCCAACACGCTCAACGAGATTCCATACTTGAAGGCCTGCATTAAGGAAACTCTCAGATTATCTCCGATTGCCCTGGGGAATCTCAGGACTATGAATAAAGACGTCATTCTGGCTGGTTACAATATTCCTAAGGGGGTAATTTTGAACTTGTACTCCTCGCGCGAATTATCTTCGCATTATATGTATATGCGCTCGCTCGCTGGCGTATCGTCGTAACATAATTTTTCCTAGTCACCTATATAATACGCAGCTCGCTCGGAATTTTACTGGGAAATATATTATTTAAAATCTGCTGGGCCACTGGGGCCCAATTGGCTGATTAATCGTGCGGCGATTCTTCGAAAACTTGTGGAACAATCGATAAAGGCGCGCAGAGTCCATGATGAAACTAACTCGATACGACTCGTCGCCGATGCAATGAGTGATATGCGCGCAAATGACAAGTGAACGGATAGCAATTAAATTCTTTCGGTCCATCACTCGATGCTCGCGCGCCGATGGCAGAGAAAAAAACATTTTTCAATTATAACTAGTATAGTAGTTCCGTTAGTAGACAAGCAAGCCGATGACTAGGACGACGAGTGAGCGAGCGAGGGAGCGAGTTTGACGATTAAAAAACGGGTCACGCGCGTACGCGCAGCCGCTGAACTGCTTTGTTTGCTCGTTTGCAGATGGACGTGATAGCCTGCCACAGTATTCTGAGCATGGACGAGAAACACTTCCCTCGACCGAACGAGTTCATACCCGAGCGTTGGCTAAAGGGCTGCGAGGACACCGTGAGGCCCGGCAAAGACGCCCATCCGTTCGCCTACATGCCCTTCGGATTCGGGCCGCGAACTTGCATCGGTCGCCGTTTCGCCGAAGCCGAGATGGAGGTGCTCATCGCCAAGGTATGAGTTAACATTCGTACGTGCTCTAAATTAGCGAATCAATGATCACTTATTAACCCCGAGTTTATAGCTTATCAAGCGGTTCAATTTACAATGGAATTACGGACCTTTGAAAATACACAGCAAATTCATCAACAGCGTTGGCACTCCCTTGAGGTTCAAAGTCATCGACCGTTAAATGTAATGAAACTTTTATAAAATGATCGAGATTAACATTCAATGACAATTTTTGCCCTTCGGCGATGTAACATTTTTATACAGAGTTTTACAACAACAAACAAATGTTCAGATCTACGATGATTGATAAATTGATAAATAAGCAAACAAGTGTTCGTGGGAGAGATGATTACAAATATCATTTTAATGAATAAGTTATCAAAAGTTGTGATTTATTTTGTATACCACTAGTACGTAGAGGGACGCATTTCAATCAAGAGTTTTGTAAAACTCGAGTCCGAGCCGCAGCGGGCTATTGCGAATTGCGACCCTCTAAAACCAAGAAATGTAAATCTCTAATGAGTATAGGTATTAGCGACGAGCACGAGCAGCTCCCGTTCATTCGTATACGTATAGATGGTACATGCGAATCACGTAGCACGTGTATATATGCGAGCCAGAGGGTCAGCTTGCGGACTGTACGCGCGATGCAATTCCCTTTAATTTTCTCTCTCTCTCTCTCGCTCCGGACGTCTCTCTCTCTCTCGCGCGAGCTAGACAGATGGAATAAGTCTGCGAAATCTCAATCAGAGACGCGTCGTCTCTGGCCGCTGATGAGCTTGGTCGCTGTCACGCGCGACATTAACTCTCGCCACACCGAGTCCAGCACCACGAGGCGAGGCGTGTTGTCATGATATACGCTACACGCGTCACTTGATTAAAACCTTCCGACCGAATGATAAATCTCGTTTATTATCTCCATTCAGATCTTTGAAATATTTTTTTTTTACTCTTCGAAACTTTTGCTTAATAAACAACTAAAGACCAAGTGGATTGACAATTATTAAAACATCGCAAATTACAAAACTTTCGTATACATCAAGTTTTTTTTGAAAAATAATTCATGCATTTCTCAGTTTGTGATTGCAAAATGTTGAATTCGATAACGCAGCACCGGTAAAAGTAGTCGCACTAATTGTCATTTTAGATAACGTAATTTTCGTTAAAATTTTTAAACAACTAATTATTTTAAGAGATCAAATATAGCCAGGTGGAAATCTAGGTTACTTGGTATTTTTAAAAAATATTTCCCTCAAACTCGCTGGAATTTTGTCTTCAAAGCAAAACTACATTAAAATGAAAATAATCCCGTCTCGTCTAATTAAATTTTTCAAAAAGTTATTTGAAAAAGACTACATCATTTTTTTTATATTTACAAATATATCATTAATTTAAGCCTATTTCACATAAAGTACAAAGTCGTTGAAGCAAATGAAAAAAAAATTTTTCGATTATCCCATCGTAGATAAAAAGAAGTAAGTAAAAATTCAAGTATAATAAGAATATCATCTGAGTAGCACCAGATAGAAGTATTATATTGGACAGATGCTAGAGTATATGGTAGAACACAGACGTAATATATATGATAATTTTACAAGATATCAGGTAGTTTATGAGAGTAAAAAAAAGGGAAAAATTCAGGCTTAGATCAGAAGACAGGATGATTACAATACACTCGTTTTTGCGCAGAAGTCATAACCGACACTGAAATGTTACCGAAAATACGTGCAGCATGTACATGCTATCAGAATTGAATTTTTTCAAAAGTTTAATATTTTTCATTCGCAAGTTTTCATGAACAACTCAGTTATTTCTATTCAGCTTCAATTCAAAAAGGTACCTGAAAAACGTCTAATTTTTTCACCAACGGCAGCATTTCAGCGTACTTTTTTTCCCTGTGCGTTCAAGTCTGCCAAACTTTTTTTCCATTTGATAGGCAAAGATTTCATATAGTAAAGTATTATAGAGAATAAATTTTTTCATTCGAAAGTTACTGCTAACGGAAAAATTACCCCACATTTACGCGAATAATACTTTTTTAAGCGAACGATATAGGTGCATTGAAATAAACATAAAAAAGTTTCAAAAATGCCATATAAGTTTTGACTGGAAAAAAAGAGAGGAGCAACACACATACACAGTGCCGCGTACACATCAGGAAAACTTTTGTACTGCACTGTGTTCCATAAGAGAGAAAACACAAAAAGTTTGAAAAATCGCCGTCGAAAAAAAGCTCACTAAGCCGAAAGGATAGTTAAGCAGCAGCAGCCAACGGCAGCTGCAGCAGTTTTTCGTTCCCTCTCTTTTTCTCTATACGTAGGGAAGCAGAGAAAGAATAGAAAAAGGACAAGTGAGTTGGCGGTGGCGCGATGTGTGTAAGTGAAATGCTCCCTGGTTCTACAAGGGAGCGAGGTAAAAATTCCAGGAATCAATCATGGCCCCGCAATGTAACGAGGAAAAACATTATAAAGAAGCCACGATGCATCCTTTCGGCGCAAAAGAAAAGCCCAGTTCCATCGGGTACCCTTCATTCTCTTGCGCAGAGAAGGAGCTATCAATGGGTTTAATGGGGCATGTATCTTTCTTTTCTCTTTCTCTATGGACCACACAGCAGACAAGGCGTGTGGTGAAATTATCACAGCAGTCGACTTTCAAGGCAATCCCTTACTTCTGCTGCTGCTTTTAGTTTCCAAATTCTATTCTTGATCGAGAGGGACGAAGAATAGGAAAAAAGTGAAGTGATGAGAGGGCAGAAATGGACGAGCATTAGGTGAAAGCTCAAAGATAAATTAGTTGCGATTTAATGTAGTGTAAGCTCTAATGATTCTGCGATGCATAATGGTCCTGTTCGATGGATAATGATGTTTACAGCTTATTCAGAGTTAGTTGATACCCGAGCCTAATTATATCTGGGGATTATTTGAATTTTATCAATAGACTCGAAAAACATAGCGAGATTCTCAAAAGCACGAAGCAATAGCGAAAATAAAGCTCTGATACCTGATGCCATCCATCACTCATAAGTTTCTGACCGTGCCGCAATTCATCATTTTGGCTGAAGCAAACTCTCCATTGCATTTCGATTGAGTCTGATCCCACAGTGGAGATGTATAAAATGATGCTAGCATGGCATACAGTCGGACGTCTCGGAACTCGTATGTCTGGAATTCAAATTCTAGACAGAACTTCCGAAGAAGATTGAAAGTTGCTTTATCTTGCGATATTTATTACCTATCTTGTTTTGAGCCGCATTCCTAATTTAACCGCATCAAGTTGAACAACGAGCAACGCCGAATCGATAAACATTTCTGTTTTTTTTTCGGAAAAAAGTTCAAGACGACGTTTTCTTTTACGTAAAAAATACCGCGTTGATGAAATAGGTTTGAAAAATTGGCGCTACCTGCTGTTGCTGCATCGCAACGGCGTTGCGCCTGCAATGTACAGTCGACGCACGATTTCCAATAACCGGAAAGGGAATACAGCTGAAAGCGAGTGCATTCCATTAGGAAACCCTCCCTTGGTTTTCGACGTATTTTTTTTCCTTTCTTTCTCTTTTTTTTCTCGCTCTCTCTTTTTTTTGCAAAACGCCTTTGTCGTCTATACATGATGTCGTTTTTCGAGCGTGACTTTCTTATATGAGCTGTATACCGTGTGAACTCGTTTTTCTCTCTCTCTCTCTCTCTCTCTCTCTCTCCCTTCATGTTTTGTTTACCCTCTTTGGTCGTTTTCTGCAAGTGCCCTAGCCTGTGCACGATGTCTATAAAGATCGAGAAATAGTTTCGAAATTTACAAGCTGACGCTAAATTGCGCGTCAGCCAGGCTAGGATGAAAATTGAATTTCTTCGATAGATACGCTCCACGTATGTATATAGCGTCGTTGCATGAAAAATCGATATTGTTATTTTATTGCAGGCTGATCGTCCAACATTTTATTTTATCGAATTCGAAGGATAGAATAACTAGAAAAATTAATAAACTTATCCTTTAAACCCGCAATTTTTATAAAATAATCTATCTACCAAAGTTGAATAAAGTATATTATAAGATCACCCGTGAAGTACTTGTAGGAAAGCTACGGTTTCGAAAGAAATAAATAAATCATTATATTCTGGATGCCCTCTGAATTATCTTCGACAACTTGGAGTTACTTGAGCTGAAAAGAGCGAGCTTCAAGTAGAAAATCCATAATTTAGTCAGAAGTTAATGATGTTGATTAAAGAACCGAATTTCTACCATAAATATTGATGAACATAGCTCTGATGAATAAGGATAAAGATGAAGTCATGTCTAGGATTTTACGCAGGTTACAAGCCAAAGGAAGATAAAAAAAAATCGAAGTACTGGGAATAGGAAAATTATTGGTTGCTCTAGCCCTCGAACTACCTTAGAGAGATATATATCGTCGGAAAAATTGATGCTGGACTTTAAAACGCGAAATATAGCTGGATTGCAGCCTCTTATTCGCAAGCTTTTTGCTCTCTTTCTTCCCCTTTCTCTCTCGCTCTCTTTGAAGCATAAGAAGAAGCAGAAGAAGAAAGAGCAAGAGAGGAAAGAATAAAGTTTATTGATCGGATGTCCGTGCAGTGCGCGCTCGGTCCGTTATATATACACGAGTGCAGGCGAGAGTAAGAGAGAGAGAGAGAGAGAGAGAACGAGAACGAGAGAAAGGAAAAAGAAAAAAGAGAGTGCACACTAGTATATAAACTTATTTCCTAATGTTGTCTATAAGTGTGCGCAGGTGTGCGAGTGTGTGACTGAAAGAAAACGGCCGCAGAAAGAGAACAAAATACAGAGGAGCTCCTTTTTTTGCGCTCCATTGTGTACAGGCTCGCTCCACGCGCACCGATGAGAGCAAGTTCATTATGTTCTTTTGGAATTGTTCGACTAAGATAGCCGGGCTTATATCTCTGCGAGTGTGCGGCGCGAGTAGTGAGCAGCGAGGAGGGGCTGGGGAGGGTGCAGGCTATCGCCAGCTCTTGATCACTCGTTTACCTTCGCCCCAAAGTAAGAATCGCCTCGATTCGTGGCTACGGCGATGAATAAACTCGCAGAGCCGCGAGAGAGGCTCGATTAAAAATTTTTTCAGCCAATTAAATTAATGGCTTTTTTGTTCTTCAAGTAGTTTTCTTTTTTTTTTCTTTTTTATATGAGTTTGGAAAAATACGTGGGGTCACGCAAGCAACTATTATGCACTCATTCGTGCGCGTATAAATAAACGGCCAGAGTGTATTTTTTTTATTTCGTGCCCATCGGTTAAAAATTGAATGTATCTATATTTGCGGAAAGTCGCGATATTTCCCGGCAATAAAGATAACTACCGATAGGCTCGCGTGGAGAGTCGCACATAAAAATGTAACAAAAACATCCAATTTCTCTCTGCCTCTCTACCTCCCTTTTTCGAACCTGTGGGATAACCTTTGCCTATATGTGCCGATATACCTCCCTCCTCCCCCCGCAGTCCTCACGCACACATGGGGCAGCAGTAAAAAAGTCGCGTAGATCGACCAGATTGTCTCTCTCTCTCTCTACCGGTAGCGACTCTATAATATGCAACTTGCGCCATAAAAGTTGCAGCGCTGTCCATATGCAGGCAGTGCAGCGAAAAATGAAAACTGAAATTGCTCGCGGCGTGAATATTGCGTCTGCGCGCCCGCACACATGTCCACGTTATATATATCTGTAGCGAGCAATTTTATACGCGCGCAAAGGATCGTACGTATACGTATATATAGCCACGTGTACATTATTTTCGCGTCACTTTGCGCCCGTGGCCAGACCATCCGCAGTTGAACAACGAGGGATCGTTTGCAGGAGAATTAAAAATGTAATGAAAAATAATCACGATTGGACTCGCGTGGCCTCACGTACTTACGCAGGGCGTATCTATGCACGAGGGCCGCGCAGTAATGTGAATAATAGTGTTGCTGCACATTGTAGCGCGTTTGCACACCATTATGATTTATTTTAGAAAATATCTAGGCGGCTTCGGTATGACGAGAAAATATGGCTATCTCGTGCGCGAGCAACGTTAAATTGGAAAGAATTATTCGTATTTTCAAAAATACAACGCACGCTTCGATCAACATTTTGGAAAATATTTCTCGCGCACACATGGACGTGGAACGTCGGCTCGAAAATATTTGAATAATTTCATTAAATTCTTCATTTTTTTCTTTTTCTTTTTGTTTTATTATGAAAAACAATAATTTTCTCTCTGACGCAGAGAAGCTCGAAGAAATTTACCGCATTCAAGTGAAATTATTCTTTAAAAGAAACAGGCATGAGGCGCACAATAAAGATGAAAAAGAATTGTTTGCTCGAAGAAAGCTCTCATTTCGCGCTCGGTTGAATTACTCTCGCTCCCCGAGATGGATCTTCGTGTTTCCGCTCCGAAATGTGCGAGTCTAAACTTATCGCGGAATGAAGATATTTATGCATTTGCATGGGATGTTTCATCAGCGACTGCTGCGCATGTACGCATAGCATTTTCGGTCCCAGCACTTTAATCTTTTTACTTGCTCATAACGTCGAAGAAAGGATTCTTGTCCGATAAATCGCATTATCATCTTTCCTCTCGAGTCACCTTTTAGGAAATTAAACGGAAAGTTTTTCAGCCCTTTTGTGTGTTGCTGACGTTCGCGATTAACATTTTTTTCTTATAGGTGCACATGCGATACATGAAATACAGCCAAAGATTTTGGGTTGCAAATAATAATAAATCGTTTACATCAGTGCATGTTGTCGTCTTCTTTAGCCGAAAGCTCGTTTAGAAATTCTGAAGCATAACTAAGTTTCGCTTGATAACTTCGACCAACTTAATCGGATATAGGCTCCTTGCCTATGCAACGTAGGAGGGGATAGACTACCACATCGTAATTACATCGATCGTCGCAACCGAGTGAACCCCGAAAAATATCGAATAAATTAAAAATATTTACCGTACCAGCGAAAATATTTGCTGCGTCGTGCATACCCCCGAAATTTTATTTTGAATAAATCGAATGATGGAAATATTTATTGGAAAGCGCAACGTAGCGAAGCTTGCGCTTTACGTGTTCTTCTATTAATGTACACGTATAAAATCATCGAAAATACACGCACTCGCGCCTGCAATATATTTGTCGACGTTTGGAAAAAAGGGAAGAAATAAAACATGGAAATGAGAACGAGCGGGGGCGGGCGGGCGGACGGCTGGTAGGCTATGTGTACACTATAAAGCATGCATCGGGTACGATGATTATTGACAAGAAAATGATGCGTGCACGTACGTACGTACGCGCGGAATAAAATAAATCAGCCAGAGGCACGATTTGCGTTTCTATCCAAGCGTAAATTATATATATGTGTATGTAGCAAGTCTGTCTGAGCGATATCCAAAAGTACACACGGAAAACGTCCAATCGAGCGAAAAAAAACGTTTCGTCTGTGTACATGTATTCAATTCGCCCGTATACACATAGATATTATCGTAGGTTCACATTTGTATAATTTAACTTTCATTCAATAGAAACTAGAAAGAGAACTAGAGAGAGAGAAAGAGACAGGCGGACCGATAAAGGGTGGGAATTTTCCGAGTTTAATGCTTAAATTGCTTTAACAACTACATGAACAGGGCATACAGCAACATTTTTTATTTGTAATAAAAGCGTTTATTAAATAAAATAATGTACAACTAGTTCGAAATTTGAACACATCGGGATGCAATGAGAGAAATAAAAATATACATGTTCACACAGTCGTCTAACGTGTTAATATAATATGGAAACATCGAACTGTGTAAGCCGTACGTGCATGTATTCGTACGAAATCCATATCATATTTGGAATGTACGCATATAATACAAAATTCAACCGTGGCCTACATTTGGATTTGCTGCTGCATCGATACTATAAAATCGATTTCGAATGAAATCATTGAATTTTCTCGCTGCACGAGTTTTACATTTTGTACTTCATATTTGTAAGTACATACCTGTATTTGTACTTTTCGAACGTATTTCGCACTGCACACGTAAAGCAAGGCGAATATGTGCAAAACATGCTTGTGCGCGCATTTCCCATTTTTTCTTTTTATTTTCATGCAGATATGATATTCGCTATATCTTAAAAATTAATCCGTAAAAGATTTGACTTGCGAGTTTAAGAAATAGAATAAAAAAAAAATTTGACTAGTCTTTGACAATAGAAAAGTTGAAGATATTTTTGTGAGCGTGTATTCTTGCTTCATAAGTCAAGTTAAAAAGAGCGAAGCGCGAAAGTTTTCCCAATTCAATTATTCGGGCTGTTGTGTTTTTTTCTTCATCTCTTTTTCCAGCATTTTCTTTCTGTTATTCCAAGCGTGCTGCATTGCCCAGATCGAAAGTGGTCGCATGTAACCAATTGAACGGTAAACATTATTTTCGGCCAAAGCCTCAGGGGTCTCGAAGCCCAGGCCTATTTTTTCATACACCGTCGTGTACACGCCCTCGGCCACCTTGAAAGCTTCGCTAACCATATTCTGAATAAAATTAAGATTATTACATACGCTGTGTTAACTCGATTCTTTTCTACGTGTGCAAATGTGAAAATGTAGGAAATCACCTCGTGTATCATGAGAGCGGCGAGGGAGTAAGCGACTCCGGTCCACATTTCCTCGCTTTGAACGCAAGAACGATCGACTCCGCCATTCGGCATGAAGCCGTTGACTGCGCCCCGAGTGCCTTTTTTGTACTTCATGACGTTGTAGTTGTAAATCTTGAGCAGCGAGCAGTGAACATTGAGCTTAGGAAAGACCTGCGAAACAAATATTTTTAATGTAATCCGATGAGTGCAACGACGAGGTTCCGTTGAGAAGCCTACCTCGTATTCGAAGCCGCAAGCTCTCAAAAGCCAATGGCCGCACAGCTGATCGCTCATTATGGTTTCTCGATGCGATCCTTTGCTGCAGTCGAAATTGTAATACAGACCTAGGAAATTAGCAGAGGAGGGCGAAAAATTAAGTAAATTATTCTAGCGAGAGTCCGCGGAGCGGATGTGCATTAGCGAGAGAAAGGATAGAAACGAAGCAACAGACACCCACCGTTCCAGAGCTTGGCATGAAAAGCTGGCGCGGCTCGATCGAGTATGTCCTTGTACCTCGCCTCCTTGGTGCCTTCCCCAAGGAGTTGGGCCATTTTTACACAGCATTGAAGCGCAGCCAGCCATAAACCGCCGCAGTATGCACTGAATGAGAATCCAGGGAATTAAAAGCTTTACATACACGTATAGATATACATAGTGGAGTCGAAGAAGAAGAAGAAGAAGAAGAAGAGGCCGCGGATACGAGGGTGGAGGTGGCAGAGGAGGAATGCGACTTCATTATTACCGCGAACGTGCGAAGACTTTGCCAACACCCGCAGAGCTTGCGGCGCAGCGTAGCGTGTACGTAGGTGCGCGAAAATTTAATATATAGATGAGACGAATTCCCATGGAGTGCAACGCCTTTCCACATTGTACGACTCCGACAGCGCTCCGACACCCCCATGTACAATCATTACCGTAAATTGTGTGTGGGTGCACGCGCGTACGTCGCTGATCGCGCCCATGCAACATCGATTAAATTAATCTAAGATTTAATGAAGCTCGTGTATATTGGCTCAAGCTTTTTAATTAAATGCGTACAGCAGGAGTCGAACAGCAATGAAATCCCAATGGGTGTCGATTTTTTTTTCTCATCCCGTGGGATAACTCTTGCTTATTTTCTCATTTCCAATGATGCCACGTTCGCGAATGTGCTCATTGTTTTATAAGCCAGAGACACGCGAGAATATTATATTTTCGCCATCGCGAATCTGTCTTTGACGAGATAATAAGATAAAAATTTCGTATTCATACCTCACGCCAGTCATCTGCCAGCAGTCGTAGGTCTGATCAGGAAATCCGGCGTGTTGTATGAGACCGTCTTCTTCCACGTCGAACGTCATGCAGTGTTCCATTACCTGCGAGAAAAAGTAATTGAGTGGGTAAGATGTGCTTTTCTGCGGATAAAAAAAATGTTTATAGTAACGCACTTGTTCGATGGCTTCCCAAAATTCACGCAGCTGATCCAAATTTTTATTAAAATGATAGAGCCTGTAGCAACCCAAGACAAATTTGGGGTTCAAGTCTCTCCAGTTGGAAATGTCGTGAACGTTGTAAGCGTTTATCAACTCGAACGGCTCCTCGGCTGTTTTAAAGAAAAAGGTAAAGCGATGCGGTCGAGCGTCGATCGATTCGAAAGAAGTATAAACGGGTGGCACTTACCGGGATCGCCGATATCGTGGGGCACCGCACCCTTCACCTTCCGGGGGCACTTGACGCCGTTGATCAGCTGCTTGAACGTCGCCTTGTTCTCTTTGAAAATGCAGTCGCGAAACTCGTACTGGATGCTCGCCTCGAGCTCCGGCCACAGCTGAGCCAAGGCGAAAGCCGCGTAAAAGTGCACGTCGTAAGTGTTGTACATGCGATACTCGTGGCCCTCGAGATACGCGAAACGCCCGTACTTGGATCTGCGAAAGACGACGAAAAACGACCATGTTACTTTTTTCTTTCTCTCTCCAGGATTTGCCGAATCGCGTTTAAGTAGCTGTATGCAAATACGAGAAAGAGAGAGAGAGAGAGAGAGAGCGAGAGAATATACAGCAGTGCAATTGGTTATTATTTGCATTGCAAATGAAACGCAGCTACTGTACCTAGCTAGGCTGCCACTGCTGTATGGGAAAAACGAGCTTTTTCGCATAATAATTGCGAATTGGATCTCTGGCTGGCTGCGAGCGTAGTATACCCGAGAACTCTAGATAGGGGGTAGCTAGCACAAAGCTCGGCCGGCGAAATAATTGGATTACAGGTCGAATTTTCAATGTGTGTGCGCGCGCGTTCTGCGTTATTATGTGTATAGCTACGAATACACACGCACACACACACACACACACGCACGTATGCACGTATGAATCGAGCGGAAAATTAAAAGCGTAAAACTCGAAACAATTTCAAACTCGCTCTTTTTGCCTCTCGCTCGGCCGTACGTATAATCATATACACGAATTATAAGTCTGCGCGTGTAGCGTGCGTCTGTGTGTGCTTGCGATATTTTTTGATTCAATATTTTCTGTGTGATTCGAATGAGTTAATAAAACGCGAGAACATGAATCAAGCGTTAACGATGCCCGACGGTGCGCGTAAAATATCATTCAACGTGGATCAATGTTTGCGCGCTCTCAGTTCCTCGGTTAGACATTAGCATTTTTATTCTATTTGCAAGGAACAAGCTGAATAATTTCTGTTTTTGTTGTGTAAGTTGGTTCATTTACCTTGGATCGGTCTCGGGGAATTGTTTGGGTTCGGGTTTCAACCAGATAGTTCCACCGTCGACCACGTAGTAGAGCTCGTTGAACAATGCACTCTTGTACCATTTGGGCAGTTGCGGATCGTCGAGCACCTCGCTTTGCCAGCTGCTGATGGTCTCTTCCCAGCGTTTGTAATTCATCAAGGCGTAGCCGCTGATCGTCACCGCAGCTTTTTCCGACCCCTCCTCGTTCGAATTGAAAAATTGAGTATAATATCTTTCGTGGGTAACTTGCTTATTGTAAAATTGTATCTTTGGCATGTCCCAAACCAGACAGAACTCCAATTGGGCGACGTCGTGGGCTTTGGCAAGAACTTGAGCGCCCACGGCTACCGCGACTGGTTTTTCTGAAAAATTGCCCCAAAAGTCATTCCGCGTACCGTTTTTCGTGCGCAACATCGTATCGCAAATTCGTAATTATCATCAAGTACACTCACTGGTTTTTTCCGAGACGGCGTTGTCGTCGTGGTTGTCGTCCTCGAGTCTTCCCTCGTTCTGCAGGTCGTCCCAGATCTTGCAGCCACTGGAAATGGGATCGAATTTGAGATGCCTACCGAGGTGAACGTCGCTACCGTTGGCACGCGAGCTTATCGCGTATGTGCAGGGCATATCGTGAATTTCTTGATGTATTAGGCATCCTCGGGCTTGGTTCTTGGCTTGGAAAAATTCCGTCCATTTTTCACCTATATATGGAGAAGGAAAAGGAGAGGCTGTATGTATAAAACGTGACAGCGTGTATAGTGCAGCGCGGATCCGATCAGCCGAGCACGTCGTTATATTCCTTCGTCTCTCTTTCTCGCCTCGCGTTGTTTTATCGTATTACCAGACGGCGCACGAAATGCGCTCCTCGATGACGAACACGTAGTGCCGCACACGTCACATTCGTGACAAGGTTTACTGCATAGTACATGTTTACCTGCGTCGTTGTCTTACGCGTAATAATCTTTACGCGCATATTAGATGAACGTGTCGAGCTTCTAACTTACTTTTTAAATAATATATCTACGCGTAGCCGAGATATCGATAAAGTCATAAAATATTTCAAGATATTTCCGCGTTTAGGATGCCAAGGCTAAAGCATGTATATTTTCATGCAGGATTTTTGCCATTTTTGTGAAACACGTTTCTGAAAAGATACGTAAAAGTACGTAAAATCCGCGTAACAGTATAGAACGACACAACAAAATCTTTTATGCTGTTCTAAGAGATATTTTTCATGAAAATCATAGAAACCCTCGACACTGTATGTACATCTTTACCGAGTTATCATGTTAATGGAAAAAAAACGTTCTAATGCGACACTCGAGTCATTATCCTCAAATTTATTTAATAAAAGCCTAGGAAAGCCGATTAAGTCTTTGGAAAATAAAATAAAAAAATTACATGGCTAAAACGAACCTTTTGAGTCGTCTTTGCTGCCGCATCCGCTCTGGAAGGTAAAGGTAATGGCCACCTTGTAGTCGTTGTTCGTGTCGTTGATCACGTCCCAGACGAAAACGGCGCATGGCAGGGAACTGTCGCGATACTCGCCCGGCATTACCGGCGACACTTGACGGCAGATCAAGCCTAATCCTTCCAACTTTTTATCCTCGAATGTGTAGTAAGTCCAGGCGCGAGGAAACAGGCCGGTGTATTCGGCCCGGCTGCCGTCGTAACCCCATTTCCACGATTTCAAATTCTGCGGATTTCTGCGGAAAATTTTCGTCCCTTTTTATACAAAGTTTGCCGTGTGGGTACCCTTTGAAATGATCCGCGAGTCAAAGGGGCAGTTGCGCGTAACATGCTGATCAAATATTTCCCAGGCCAAATGCCGAGCACGAGGCTCTATAATATCCTAATTCTCTTTGTCATTTGCACGTCTGCGCGCGCCATTGAGAGCGACGCGCAGAGAGAATGGATAATTGAGGCGCGCGAGCGAGCAAGTGATTCTTTTGAAAAATGAATTAATAATCGTGGCGCGTGTCGGTGTTTTTTTTTATGTTCCACACTTACTTGTTAGTCGACAAGACTTGATTGTAAACGACCTTGCCCGAGGCATCGCTGATCGTTACGATAAACTGATTGGCCGGCATGACCGTGTAATTGTAAATTCCGGGCTGTATGGAGTAGCGACAGAACTCGCCTTTGAATCCACGGCCGATGCTGCCACCTCCGATGCCACCGATCGGTACGCCTGTGGGATAGACAAAATTAAACCCATTGAGCTTGATTAATCCAATCGACGAATAGCGACGACATGGTTTTTCGCGTCAAGCTGGGCCGCCCCTTTTATTAGTCGCACACGCTGCGCGAAACGACGAGGCGTTTCAATGAGAAAAAAGCCCAGCCTGACGGCCTTCTACCCCTCGTATACACGTACATTGCTAGCGAAAACTCCTAATCCCAAGAAGTCGTAATCCAAATGTACGTATCCGTTGGTAACGACTTCATTTCGGAAATTCGGATGTTTATAAAAATGTGCGCGCCTCGAGTGTGCGTCCATATATGAACCCATACGAATGCAGCTGACAAGCGAGAGAACGAGGAAAGCACAAAGGCACTAGTGACGCGGATACTTTTAAAGCATGGAATTTACAAGCTTTGGCTCGTTGATTTTGCACGGGCAGCAAAATGACCATCGAGCAGAAGCGAGAGCAACGAGAGGATGACGGTAGCGCAAATACTCCGCGAATTTTGCTCGGCATATACGCGCGATATAATAAAAAAAAAATATGTTCTCTATAGCGGCCAGCTGGTCGTGCAAGCTAAAAGCTCTGTATGGATTCGCGCAAAAACGTGCAAAGCAATAGCTGCCGCCGCCGCCGCCGTATCGGTGTAAATTACGCGACTCGAATATGTAGCGCCGTGTAGCGAGGACTACTGCAGGTGCAGCCAGTTAATACTTGGGGCAGCGAGCATCGATAAGCTGCGGAATTTATCGAAAATTTTACTGCACTGCGCCGGCCACTTATACGCGTATGAGAAGCGATCCCAACGCGACGCGCTCTCGCAATCGAAGGCGAATTAGGCGCCCGAGCTTCGCGCGAGGGACTCAAATCGAATTATTACGAATATTTTGAAAAATTCATTTCCAGCGACCGAGTACACTTGTACGGAATAGAGCGAATTCGGCGAGTGTGTTGTTAAATTTAGCCCGGTGTCAATTCGAGTAGTTTTGCCCGTTCTAATAGACTAATTGACTAATAAATTTAACATGCAATAATGAGTTATAACAACCTCGTGGAGCTCGAGCATGTAATATAACACAGATGAAAAATGAGATTGTACTATTTGGAGCGTGTTTACATTGAGATATAAACGTGTTTATTTATTTATTTATCATAAGTACCGTAAATTTGTTGGCCATGCTGCACGGTCATATAGTCCATAATAACCGGACGATTTTTTCGCTTCATGCTCTGATAGTACCAAAGATATCTGTCAATAAATTGAATGAAATAATCGTATTAATAAATAAGATAAGTTCTCGTATACTCAAGAAAAAAATTTTTTCGAAAAAATTGCAAGTTCTTATCTCGCGAACAATTTACTGAGAAATAAATACAGTCACTGTGACTTTGGATGCGAATAATGTTATGAATTTATTTAGCTTAAATATTTATTCGTCCTAACAAAGTAGATTCTGCATTAGTTTTACTAGAAAATTCAAGAAGTTACCTCCAAAATAGCGGCAGCATGTGGACGGTTTGCATAAAGCTCGGCCTCATATTTTGCGACCACTTCTCGGGAAACTCGTGATTGAGCTTCACCTTGAAGCCATACTTTGGTATCATGGTATCTATTTTACTTTCCTTTGTTTCACTCTCCATTTCTTTATTCTCCATTTCTTGATTCTCCACTTCTTTACTCTCTACTTCTTTACTCTCTACTTCTTTACTATCCACTTCTTTACTCTCCACCTCATTACTCTCCACCTCTTTACTCTCCACCTCTTTACTCTCCACATCTTTACTCTCCACCTCTTTACTCTCCATTTCTTTATTCTCCATTTTTTCACTCTCCATTGTTCAGTCAGTCGTTAAATTAATCTATTATCACAGGTTTCTGAAACAAAAATGTATCGATATTTTTCGATTGTCGGTTGCCGGTGAGACGTCACGAGCAACTTCCAAACGACTGAAGAAAACGATCGTTACAGATTTCAAAATTCTATGAGATTATATAGTTGTAAGCACAAGAGAATCGAGCATAATAATAGTAAACATGAATCGATTCGTTCATGAATACTTAAGATCGCCAGTGAAGAGACTCAATAACGAAAGAAAAACAATAACAGAGGAGCAGACGATGCTCACGCACACAGGCGCTCAACGGCGCAAGCTGTACACACAAACACTCGAAGCTCCGACCTGTATGTAGAGTCGAAAATCAGCCAAACCAGCGGCTGATATCTCCGCAAACTCGACGACTTTATTGACAAAATTAATTTCTCGAGACAGAGTTTAATTAGCCGCTGTCGACTCTATACTCGTCTTCTTTGTACTGTCATAACTAGCGATATATAGACTAACCTGCAGTGCCAAAAATAGCAGACGCACGACAACATCGAGGCTCGCACACGGTCAGAATTCCATCTCCCTTAGAATTGCAAAGCGCTTCGAGTACAAGTGTACGGACCTGTGGAACACAAGTACGCACGATGCATCGTACTTGATGTATCGCGACTTGTCGTCGTCGTCGTCGTCGTCATTGTTGTTATCGCGCAACAACAATCGCAGCGCACACCGCCACCGCAATCACCGTGCGGCTCACGAGGTTATGTTTACGTAGCATCGAAAGCTGCCACTGACTCGCGAGACCGCACGAGCGTATTTGCATGCTTGCTGCAGCTATACCTATAAACGCGTAGCTGCATGCTCTACACACAAACACGTAGCCGCCAAGTGTTTGAATAAAGCGACGCATTTTGCCAGCTGTGAGGCGGCCCGCTGCAAGCGCGACATACAAGGCCTGCCTGCATACTGAGAATATGCACACGCAGCTACGACGCGGCGAATTGTTATTTATCACGTCCAAAGTAGCAGAAGACGCGACGCTGCGCGGACAATGACATACAGTCGCAGTGTCTCGTGCATTTCTCGTTCGCAATTGTTGATAAGAAAAAGATGCAGCTGCTTCTGGAGCCGTTGCTGCTACTTTTACGATTCCGCCAGACGTGTGTCGTTAGATAGAATGTTCGTTAGCAGTGCTATCTCTTTTAAATAATATTACAAACCCCGTAGAAATCATGGATTCTACGGAGAACGAGGTAATCATCGTTTACGTATGCAAATTTATGTGTCTTCGACATTCGAACGATTTTTTAATGTTTTTTATTGTATCTTTTTGTTTCTCTAATTTTTTTTTCCACATATTGAAAATGATTGACTATACCAAATTTTTGATATATTGCCAAGTGTGTAAATCATAGAATTATTGCATTCAAATTTGTTTTTATAGTTGGAGGTGCTTGAGGCAGATACGGTGTACCTGCTCATGAAACATGGTTTTCCCATATCTCGCAATATAAGGGCACAATGGGTGCTCCAACATTTGGATACACTCATATCGGTACAAAATCCTGAATATGAGAGTGAGGATACGCCAGAGCTAGAAATTGTTTCTGTACTTCCAGTAGAAAGTGATCATTTGTGGAGTCCAGAAAATAATTGGCAATACCTCTATAGGGTCACTTCTACAACTAAAATTAAATTTTTATCTTATAGATATAGAATGGTTCTTAGTTTAGATCTTAGTCCGTCTCTTGCAACTATAGTAAGCTTTCATACTATTTTTTATCATGTCTCTACAATTTTACAATTACTTACAATCAAATTTTTAATGCAGGACATAGAAAATGGCGAAATAGTTATTGATGAAATTTATTCAGCTACTCAAAAATGTTTAGAAGGAATAACGAGACCGGTATGTACTAGGCATCAATAGTCAAAAGAGATGTATTAATTAACTCATGTTCATGAATTTATTAATTATTCTAGTTTCTTATTCCTGGAAGTAAACGAATGCTACATCCAGAAATATATGTTACTGTGATAGTTCATACACCCTTTTTTACCAATCCAGCCCAACAAGTGTTAGTTCAAGGCTGGCTAGTCACTACAGAAAATGTTGGTAGATTAATGCAAGTGATAGAATCTGAATTGAAATTATTAGAAGAAAAAGTGGCTCAAGTTACAGGCCTAGTTAATTTACAATTAGAAACAGTGAGACTAGAAAGTGAAAAATTGGTAGGAGGTCTCTTTGAAGAAAGCAGTACAAATATAGGAAAAAATAATGCAAATAATATTGGAACAAATCTAGGGATGGTTTCACCAGAAACTGGATTTGTTAACATGCTGCGATACGGTATGCTGGCATTATCTTTGCTGCCAGAATATAGTTGCGCACGTAAGCAGTTAATATTTAAATTTTATTAATATTATTAATAACACTTTTTTATTTGTGGGTTTAATTTTTTTTCAGAATTAGTAATTATTTCGGATGGAATTGTTGGAATAAATGATGTCCATGCCTTAGACTCTGTTATACAACAATTAAGAGCTACCACAATAGCATGTAGTTTTTTTCATGTAGGCAGTTCCTATCATCCTCATACGGCTAATGGGCTAGTACCATACCCTGATTTATTACGATTTTTAGCAACAGCGACTTTAGGAACATATATGACTGTTTTTCCAGCGTTGGTTAGTAGAATTCGTAAAGAATACATGCTTAAAAATAACATTTTCATTTTTAAATAAACTTTTAGCCCGAAGAAGGAAACCTGGAAATGAATAAGTATCATAAAAACCTGCTATGCTGGCAACTGTACCGTCACGAGCCCTTTGAAGTTCGTGGAAACGACGTCAATATTTGGAAAACGAAAAACAATTACTTTTACGGACACGAGCCACCTCAATTGTTGCGCAAAAAGCAAATTGACGATCAAGTCACCTGCACACTAAACAGTATGCTCTGCTGTCGATTGCGCGAAGGATATCTAATCAGAAGAGCGAATATGCGCGACGGTAGTTTAGAAATTTGCTTCGTCTTGCCATGGAAAACTCAAGTCTTCATCGAGTACGTGGTCACGTGTCCTCGATTTTTGAAAACCCTCTCGATCTGCAATACCTTGCAGTACACCATTACGATTGAGGCACCTTACGAATTTCTTCACGACATCACTTGTCTATCGAAGAAGCCCCTCAAGTCGCAGTACCGGCAAAACATGGTTTCTAGATTTTGGACGGCTCTGACCTCACTGACCGATAGCGACAATATGCTCGCCCACTTCAGCTGGTTCCCGGGCATGGGTCGGACCTGGTACAACGTACCGGACACGATTAAGAGCGGCATGCCGCTCTTTTACATGACGTCGAGCCTGCCGAGTTCGATTCAGCTGAGCGATGCAGCCTGTCCTCAATTCGGACAAATGTGGCAGCCGGTCATATCTCTTGAGCCGACTCAGTGGTCGCGTTGGATGCACTCGCAGCGCGTCACCCTCGTGCTACTTCATGATCGGCCCCTTCCGAAACACCTGCACCAGGCGAATCAAAGCGGTCGATTCCAATGTGTGCAGTATCGTCAAGCTGCAGCATCTCTTTACGGCATGCTGAAAACTTGGGCCACCTTTATCTTGGTAGAAAATCATACGTACGTTCACTTCATTTACCGAGAAGTAGAAAAACCACCGATTTCCTTCTGCCTGATCAACGTCAGTTGCAAGTCGCTCTGCGTAGTGTTAAACGTTGCATTTGCCGCTGGCACCGAGGGCATCGTCCGTCATAATATCATGGCGGATTTGCTCGATAGACTGAGCCAGCTAAGTCTGCCAAGCCGAAGAACTGAGCAATCTCAAGTACCTTGCTGCAAGATACTGCACAAACCTTTAGAAAAAATACTCATTAGGTACGAGAGGATGCCTCTAAACTTAAATACCGTCATGTTCCCCGATGGGTCTCAGATAATGGCGAAAAATGGTGCCATAAGTCCTGCTTCGTTTACTACCTCTTTGAGTCGTTACCTCTATCACACCAGGTGGTTGTGGCTGCTTAAAAAGCCGACTCTAGTAACCCAGCCTGTCAGTGCCTTGCCAAAACCAAGTATTGCTGCTATTGCTAGGATACTTTCAACAATTACCAAGTGAGTAACCCATATTCATTTATTTCATTAGTGAACATAGACTGAACTGACTAGTTTTCTGACACATGAGAAAAAATTCTACTTTTATTGTTTGAAAGGTTGTTTACAAGAATCTGATTTTTACTTTTCATTTATTTAGTTATTGGACAAAAATTCAGCTTAAAATTAATAATATTTTAGATTTTTTTATTAAAACGTGTTTTTAGAAACATTTTTTCTAATCAAAGTGACCAAAAAATAGAGTGAGTCCGAAAATTATCTTGTCTATGCTGGATAATCCACGAAAAGTTATAGAATTTAAAGGGCTAGTCCATAACAAACCGGAATGAAGAAATTAATTTTTATTAAATTTTAATAAGCAAGTACCGTAGTTTTCATTATTAATTGAAACTACAAAAGGAATTAGTCATTTTTAACGGGTAACATATTATTCGCAAGGAAAGCTTGGAAAAATAGTGATAAATTCATAATCAGTAGCAAATAAATACTTCACATAAATTACACAAACATATTTTTTTAAATATCCATTGCTTCAGGATTCGCTTGGCGGAAGGATTCAATTTTTCATATTCCGCTGCTGGCATAATAAACACTGTGATGGAAGTACAAATGAAAGGATCAGGAAGTAACGTCGACGGGAGTGCTGAAGCTAACTCGTACCCCTGCTTAGTCCAGTATGTTTTATTTCCTCCTCACGTGGTCGTTAATCCCGTAATCGAGAAGGACAGTTGCACCACCGACGAAGATACCACCGACGAGGGTAATCTTTTAATAATATACGTGAATTTAAATGTGAAGGGTCGATTGTAATGAAAAATATTTGTCACAGGTACTGCCGATGGAGAAAACGGCTATGAAGATGGAGAAGCAAATGGTGACTTTCAAATAGTCATGGAAGTATGGATAGAACCTCAATTTGGATACGTCCAGGCAAATGACCAACAGAAGAAGGCCGCTTACATGAGGTCGCTTGAATATTTCCAACTTCCGGAGGCGGTGAGTTTTCTTAATTTTTTTCAATAGAAAAGATCATTCTTAAGTATACAGAAAAAAGTTCAGGTCTTGAGTATGAATTTCAATAATAAACGATCAATTATAGATATCATTCGTATTCCTAAATATTATCTTATCATTCAATTATTGGCTTATCTATCCCTTGAATTAATCAAAAGATGCATGACACAAAATATAAAAATTGAAGATTCTTTTTTCGCGATTAAATCTTTTACGCTACATGATGAGTCGTTTCTCACAACGAATATTTTAAAATTGCGTATCATCGTCCACGGGAAAAATATAAAAAATTGTCAGTCACGAATTGTGCAAATCCGAAGAGAAATTTTAGAGAATATCGATAGGATGTTTCCCCGCTTCAGACAGACAAAGATCAAAAATCTTGCCAAACTAAAACGTACAACTCACTTATCCATCCGTACATACGAAAAAGATGAGTCTTATCTTCAGCAATGCTCGCGATAATGCTGCAACTACGAAAAATTCTTCAATCGCTCTCTCTCTTTTCCTTTCTTCGTTCTGTGCAGACCATAACGCTTTTCTCGAGTGCTTTATTTTGTCAAGTAGGCAATGCTACAAGCGATATCGTCTTGCGAGCTCGACAAACAGACTCGATGCTTCGTACTTAATGTATATAGCACGGAGATATTAGAGATTTCACACGCGTATAAAATGTCTATCGAACGCTGCCCTAAATCGCATTGCCATGACGGAAGCTTTTTGTCTCTTCATTGACAACATTAGTTTTGACCATTACAACTCGCAAAATTTTTTTGGTGTCAAGTGAACAGTCTAAATAAATCAAATTAATTTCCAGAGGGGATTAGAAAAAAATTTCTTCAAAAATAATTTGGTAAATTATTAAGCGTCTCTGCTTTATGATGTACGGATAATCACACTTTTCTAACGGGCAAAATACCTAGCATTTTTGTTTTTGGCATAGCTTAAATGAAAATGCAAAAAATGTGCCTCGGAGCTACGCACTGCACATGCATATAAACTATTAAAGAACAATTTAATTCGATGAAATTTTTTTCATCATCTAGAAAAAATAGCTAATAATCTTGTTATTACCTGTTAAAAATTAAATTATCAGTCAATCGAAATTCAAGTTTAAATTGAACGTTATTGCCAATCATTTAAATTGTACATATTTCAGTAATTGTGAGTGGAATATTTTAATAAAATTAAAACACATCTCTGAGTGGCTATTTTGTATGAATGAAATCTCCATAAAAATTGACTTCTTCAATAAGTAATCAGCTTTAGTAAAATAATTTTTCTGACAATATGAAACGTGATACGATTGATGTTCAAGTAAAAAAAATTTATCCAATGTTTCTTCTACTATCATAATTTCAAGATAATAGCAGAACTCAATGTGACGAAATATCGTTTTTTTTAGTACTAAACTATGGACGATATCAACAATTCTGTTAAATAAACATCATTGGAATTGCCTAAACTTATCAAATTCGATCTTATCTACTTCATGACATTATGTTGCGTGATTCATATTTTGAAAAATGAGCCCATCGGAAATAAAACTATCTTGCGTAATGTAGAGATCCGTTTGAAGAAAAGTCAATACTAAAAAATAGACAATTACAAGGGACTCATCCTTCCGGTCTGTGATGATTCATATCTTCTAAGCATTTATAAATACAGGTGAAATTTCTCATCAAAGACACAGCCTTGTCGTACAATAAAAAAAAATATGAAACAGACGAAAAAAATATAAGTTGAATAGTTGAAAAGCGTCGCGTTATTATCATAAGAAAATAAGTTCGAATTAGCTGCTCGCATGCTTTTACTTGGGAACGAATTTTGTAAAATTCTTATGAAAATAAGGTTACTTGCTGTCATATTTTTTCATCTCACCTATATATTTTTCCTAGTCGTGTCAATGATCATATAGACGTACAAATATATCGCGACGTGTATATAGAAGAAGACACCTTATCGTTATCGGGGCTGGGCGTTTACACTTTTACGCGCACGCACACGCTCATCGCACACGTACACACCTCTACGGTATCTCTAAAAAAAGAAGGACCCGCGGCGATTGTACGCTCGAGCTTTATTATCAGCCCGAACAGGTATATATAGGGCCCTGGCGCGATGCCGGGCCCTCTAGTGACCTCTCGCACGTCGTCTATCGCTCGTCACGCTCGTCTCTCGATGTGCGATACCTCTGCGTTTTATCGGCTTGGATTTTTTTACTTTTCTCGCAATTGAACTTTCGACGCGCTCCAGCGTCGATAGCCTAGGACGTGTTACTCTAAATTTTCACGTTTCTTTCTCATTCAACGTCAATTCGTCGATTTATGTGCAGATCAGTGGTGTTTTGGTGCTTGTGCCGTGGATCATGTAGCGTAGTTAACTCAGATTTAGCGTTATTTTTCTGTCGTCGTTGAATCGTTCGCGATTATACCTGCATTAACGTCTTATCAAACATCTGCGTAGTACGGGGTGACGAAACAAACCCCCAAGATTGATTACCAACTATAGCGTCGTTCGTGCGCAGTGACACAGTTACGTAAGCAATCGTGAAGAGTTAGAATAACGTTCGTTTACAATTATTAGCGCGTCTTTTTAGGATCAAAATTAACGAGTCGATTTACACGAGCTCGCGAGATAAAGCTAAAACTCCATTGGGAAACGCGAAAAAAGTCGCAAATGTGCATGTGTGTGACTTCTCGTGTGAATGTGCACAAGAGAGGCAGGTAAAAAGAGAGAGAGAGAGAGAGAGGCCGATAAGAAAACGACTCATAGTTGTCTCTTATCGATCTCGAAAACGGCTCGATCTTCGCAATATTTGAATCGCGAGTCAACATCGTTAAGTTAACAAAATACGCGTTTTTCAATAATCATTGCAACCAATAATTCTTCTTTTTTAATATCAAAAAGTGAAAAAACAATCATCGGAAATTCTCAACGAAATGATACATATCAGTTTTTACGCGATAGGTTTACGATACGCGAGTTTTGATGATAAAAATAACGTTCGATCGTACGTGCGTGCATGAAAGGCGATCGAACTGGATGATAAATATTTCGTTTATTGTGTATGTACTGTGTCAATGTGCTCGGCAATACGGAACTGATAAGCGAGCGTGTATAGACAGTTAGTTTTACCAAAATTTTTGTAAGAGATTGGCTGCAAAGGTAACGCGATCGTGAATTAGTTGACTAGAAATTATTCTACGTATTACAGTGATCGTCGCATACAGCCAACTGATTATCGTAGTAATTCGACGGTATATTACTTTTTACATTTATACATGAAATGTATGTATTGTCTACTTTGATAAGGCAAGTCACATTGACGCTAATCGCGATACGGATTATCTCGGCTTGCAGGCGCGAATCAGAAGAAAAATAACGCTTTATCGAGACTCTTCATCGCGATGACAATACGATTCTAGAATCAGTTATATACATTTTCGAGAACTAGCCTGATTTTGTCGCGTAGGAGAGAAATATACTCGCGTCTCGAGTGTCGCGGTCAAATGTGCGAGAGGTCCAACATCAGTCAGTGGATTTTAAAGTCAAATCGGGAGACCTGCCTGTAAATCTCGCCGACGCGCATTAGTTGGAAGTAAAGATCGAGACAATATTAGCCATGTGAAAAGTTTGCCAGATCTAACTCTTCCAGCTAGTGCTCGCTACGGTCATTTCATCGAAATTCAGTGAGATCGTTGCAGCTTTGCATTGGCTATTTTTCGTCCAAAGACAAATTTGAGAAGCTACAGTTTGGCAAGAAAATATAGAGAAAGAAAGATAAATTATCGGAGGGTTTGAGGTTTAAGTGGAGTAGTGGTCTCTACGCTTAGATTTTAAAAAGTGAGATTCAACTCCTCCTACTTATTCCGTGGACCCCGGGTCAACGATTACTTCAGAGCAATTTTTTTACCTCTAGCGACAGTTTTTATATTATCCTAAACCAATATCACACCAAGACTTGTACTTTTTTCTATAAACATGTATTTATAAATATATTTATAATAATTTTATCAATATATCTATTAATGTATTTATAATAAAATATTACGTTGTCTGCAATATTTCAAAATTAATCAAAATAATTCATATCACTTTGCCTTATACAACTTTATAAAGGAATATTTATCATTAACCTTTTCATTTCTTGCACATAAATAGTATATTTTACACCTAGGGAGTGAAAAACTGGAAAGTCTCTGGACACGCGTAATTTATCATCCGAGGCGAAGCCGAGGTTGATAATCACGTGCTCTGAGACTTTCTTTTTTTGGTACAATTTTTTGTGAATATCCCAGCCTAAAGTAACATTTTGGTTTTGCTCAGCGGGAGTAAAATGTTCACTTCCTATAGGTGCAAAATATACTATATTTTTACAAACTTATAATTAGCCTCCTAAATGTTCCAATTTTCTAATTTATCGGTTATGCATAATATATTAATAAATTCAATGGTTCACTTTATTACAATCCTATAACATGATGTAATTTCTTCAAGAGTGATTTCCATAACTCAGCATGAAATTTTACTATTAACTCGATGTAGCATCCAGACACGTTGTAAAAGCTAAATTTTCATTTTGATAAATAACTACATTATGTACAATGCGTATAAATTTCGAACGTAAAATATACATCATCCACCCATTTACGATAATCCCCTTGGAATAATCCACTGCTGCAGATCTCAAATATCGATAAAGAGGTGATAAATGCGCTATTGACCCTGGAACATTTATGTTTGATGTGCCAAACAATGTCCTCTGAAGACGAGATCGTCCACAGCACTATGAACCAAAACCAGCAGCAACCACAGCAGATTCATCCATTGAGCGCGATAGGTAACATGAGCAGCCTTACCGTTGGCAACAAGACTTCGAAGCGACCGACGTTCGCACAAATAGCCGATAATCCATTAGCCGACGATCGAGTCAGATCGATGCATTTTGAGTTCGACGCCCTCGCTGTACTACCCAAGTGCCAACAGGCTGAGCTCCTGTTTTCTATGTTTACTGATGGTTGGTTATCTTTCTTGTATTTATTTTTATAATTATCTCGCTCTCGGATAAAGCACTGAAAATGCGAGAAAATTAAGGTACAATATTTCAAAAAGAACAATTCGGAAATCTTTTCAACATTTTTACAAATCGGTCAAATTTGAAATATGGCATAGTTGAACTGCAGATTAATCATCGATTGTATTGATTATTTCTAATTTAAAACAAATTTCTATTTATCGATAACACTACGTAAGAAAATCGAATAGAGAATTATAAATTTTCTTTTTCTCAATTTTTAAAATGATCGATTACCCTGCTAGTTAAAAAAATCGTTAGTCCCTTTACTAAAAAAATCTTCTTATCTCTAGACTACCAAGACCAATTAAGAATGGACTCAAATGCCAATAGATTACTCATGGGGAGCCTCCTTAGTCATATCAAAAGTCTGCATAATAAAGAGCTGATCCTCAACGCTGCTGAATCCGATCGATTTACCAGAATGTTAGCCGCTCGTCCTAGAGAAGAGGGATACAAATACCTATTTTGCAATTACGGTAAATTTTCATCACTCCTTCAATCGCTGTGAATGATGTGTTGAAAGTGTTTACTAATTTTTTACCTCGATCGCAGACACCGACGACTCTCACGTTACGAAAACTGTCACTTCGACCTATCCTCGCTGGCGTTGCTTTGTCAAGGGCATCAGCACTACCCACGTGATCGTGACGCTGGTGCCGGCTGCCGAGGCCGACGTTCAGCAGTTGATCAGCCAACCAGAAGATGAGAGCGAGCGTCAGAACGCGACGACGCCCCAGGCCGTAGCTCAGGGACTGGCGGATTCCATGAGCGATTGCCGCCAACACTACGTGAGCGATGGTACGGGTGGTCGATCGGAGACTACCTCGCCGATTCCACGATTTCCTATCGAGACTGTGGTAAGTTATATCTAATTTAACCCATTAACGCGCAAAAGTGCAATTTTGTGCTTGAATTTTCCGTTGTAAAAAAATTATAGATAAAGTTAAAATATTTTCTTGAAAATCCATACCCAGGGGTTTTTGGGTATGCTCTTTCAGTATCCGGTGTTATTTTTGCGATAAATAAACATTATCATCGTTTATTTTGCCATTAAAAACAAAAAACGGGATTTTTTGACTCAAAATTTTTTTTCAAAGTCGATTTTCTACCTTGCCTTGCCTTCGGAGGGTTCCCATAACACCAGAAATCGTGCACTTTTTCTCTGAACCTTCGAAAAATGCGCTGCCGCGATTTTTATCTTGCCCCTATATTTCTAAAATGGCGAATTTATACCGAGCAGCGATATGAAAATTGCCTTATTTTTTATTTGTAAATTATTGACTTTATAAAAGAAAGTCATACAATGAAAAGTGTTTAAATTTGTTCAAAGAATACATGTGAATTTTTTTTAGAATTTTTTAATAATTTTTTCAGAATTTTTCAGATTTTTTTTGGAACATTTTGGATTTTTTCGACAGGCCGGGAAATGGTCGTATTTTGCAAAATTTTCAAAGTGGTCTGAAAAATTCTGAAAAAATTCACACGTATTCTCTAAACGAATTCAAATAAGTTTTTACACTCCAAATTGTACTTTTTAGTTCATATTTAGCGCATGTAGAATAGGATCTGAGTAAAAAATGAGTGAATTTTTATACCGCTGCTCGGTATAAATTCGCCATTTTAGAAATATAGGGGCAAGATAAAAATCGCGGCAGCGCATTTTTCGAAGGTTCAGAGAAAAAGTGCACGATTTCTGGTGTTATGGGAACCCTCCGAAGGCAAGGCAAGGTAGAAAATCGACTTTGAAAAAAAATTTTGAGTCAAAAAATCACGTTTTTTGTTTTTAATGGCAAAATAAACGATGATAATGTTTATTTATCGCAAAAATAACACCGGATACTGAAAGAGCATACCCAAAAACCCCTGGGTATGGATTTTCAAGAAAATATTTTAACTTTATCTATAATTTTTTTACAACGGAATATTCATGCACAAAATTGCACTTTTGCGCGTTAATGGGTTAATTGTTACATTTTTTCTAATTAATCGTAACGATCGTGCGCAGGAAAATCCGGACTTGGATTACTTCAAAAATGCCTTGGCATTCAGCACCCCCAAGACAACGTCAATCGACGTTTACAACGAGCATCACGCCACTCCTGTCATATCGCCTTGCAACATCTTGGGCCTTGGTGGCGAAACGCAACGCCGCACCAGCCTCGTATTGCCCATATACGTATACGACTGCTCATTAGCGTTACTCGTCGACAGTCTCGTGGAAAAATTAGAGAAACCTCGATTCCGTGACGTCAGACATGATTACACGTTCCGCATGGCTGACCAAGTACACCAATTTCGAGAAGAATTTGTCGGCCTCAAGTCCGGCGATAACACCAAACCCTCATCGCCGGAGCCTAAGAGCGAGGATTCCGACAATATCACCGGTGGTAAGCGATTGTGAACTTTTCTTCGCTGCGCGTTTCATTACATTTTCTTTTTTAATATTTCGCAATCGTGATTTTAGATCAACAAAATTTGCTCGAGCACTGCAAGATCATCAGCCTTGCTCACTGTAACGCCTACGTCGTTTCCGTGTACAAATCTCTGATAGAGCAGCAGCCCATCAATTACAGCGATATGGAGGCTGCGGTCGAGCAATGCGAGGAGTGCCTCATCGAGATCAACATCACCGACTATTTGCGTGCCGTATGCCGTCATCTTGGCAATGAGGCCTTACCCCCTAGCCCTCTAAACGATACCGACGAGGATGGCTACGGATGCAACGACACCTGCAAAGATATGCGCAATTTACACATGCTCATTAAGGACAAGTTCCGAAAGATCATCAACGTCGCTTTTAAGCAGGTGTCTGTGCATCCGGACTTTTACTTCTGCCTTCCTTACGGGAAAAATGATAAAATAGTATGTATTCGTTTAATAGCGCATGTAGTTCATCAGGGAAAAAAGGGTAATAACGGTGATTTGAAATTTTGCAGGCTGAATCGAAAAATATGGTCTCGTCCGACAGCGACGACGAGGTTCGATTCTCCTACACTAATGAAACGCTCAACGGCAAGATGTTTGGCTCTCTGAAGAAAGTTGTAAGTCACACCGGCAATATGACGAGGTCCTCCGCTGGCATCAACCACGATCGTCAGAAATTATCGGGGAGCCCTGAATCTGTCGAATCGTATGAGAGCGGTCAGAATGACGACGAGCAGCCCCTCTTTATCCAGCTTAATTGCTCCATACACTCAAAGACCAGTTTCTCGAGCACTGCGGTCAAGCTGCTTCCAACATGTTTTACGGAGATTACACAGAAGCTCGAGGACTACAATCTCAAGGACACATCGAGTCTGAAAGTCACCCTGGACATCATATGCTTGAATCTACCGAAAGAGGTGCTCGAGGTCAGCATCGAAAATGTACCATCCGGATTGCGCACTACTTCTTACTGCAGTGAGGGTAGCCGTGGTGGCGACACCAGTACCGACGGCAGTTTTGATCGTTCCTCACTGAATCGCCAGCATGGCTCGATGCATCACCAAATGTCTTTCGAGACAGGAGATCCGATCCACGAGAATATCACGAATCTGCCGTCGCATCAATACACGGCCGTGACTAGCCTCGTCGATGAGATCAACTGGTTGCTGCGAGATGAAACTGCAGCGGTTCTGCTCGACCAACCCGATCTACCCTCCAAGGCAAATCTCGAATTTATCGCTCGGCACGTAGGGGAATCGCGAAATCGTAGCAGCTGCTACACGGACAAAGTACCTCTACACTTTGTCTTCTCAGTCGAGAACAGTCTACCCCGTTTTATTGAGGAGTTGAAAACCCTCAAGGTCGACTCCTACAGTGTTGAGAAGGAAGACGAAATATTTTATTTCGTCAAAAATGAAAAAGAAAAGAGCTCTACCTTGGATACAGATTCTCCAACACCTGTAACTGTACGTGATGAAGAAGAATCTAAAGGTATGATTGACTAACGTAATAATTTCATTGTTTGCCTTTTTTAAATCTTCCATTTTTTATAAAGGAACAATGCCAGATGATTCAGTATTCAATACGGAGGATATTACTCAAACATCGGTTGTAACTAGTAACATTGTTAATAATAACGTCAATTCAAGTCAGATAAAAAAACAAGATTCTGGAGAATTACCGGGATATCACTCGGAGATATCTAGTATTGGCGACAACGGTCAGTTGGGAACTGACGATGGTTATGAAGGGGACAGCAGTGACACTGAAGACGAATGCCAGTGGTTGGTCGATTTAGATCGCCGTCGCCCACGTCTACCTAATTTCTGGCTTATTTTACGTGTCTCCGATGATCATGTTAACGTTTACTTCCATTGCCGATTTCTTGAACTTAGTTCGCCAGAAGTCGATCGGTACCAGCAGGTGCATAAAAACGCCGTCAGTCAGATCAAGGCTATTTGCCGACGAGTCAACCAATACCTATTGTTGCGAGATCTGTACGATAAACGGATATGCGATCCTCTTCTAGAAAACGAGTCTGCGGAGGATAATAACTGGAAAAATGACTCCAGTCACGATAGCACTCCCGCTTCTCAGACTCATGCACATGCTTCACTTACATGTACGGCCAATTTATTATCATTTAAGATTTAATTTTTTTTTCTTCAACTATAATACCACATTTTTACATATTTAGCTGGATCACACATGACTCCTGGTATGTTCCGTTGTCCTATAGTTTGGGAGGTACCATTTTGTCTTCATCACCGGTTGAAAACTGGACCTGGCAAAACCGGCATGTCACGCGGTATCAAGGTTTTGCAGGCAGTACTGAATCGCTTTTCCGTTAACAACCGATCTAACATGTTTGTGTACCAAGAGAGAAACAAGAACGTCTTTTATCTTCGTTTGCACGAGCGAACCGGTGACGAAAAGTCACTTCAGAGCGGAAAATTATCTGAAAGCGACGAGAAAATCGTCGTATCACGCAGCAGCAGCATTACCTCACTGTCGCAAACCAGAATTATGGCCCAGTCAACCGACCATGTTTCGGGCTCATCAATAAATTCAGAATTACTAAGGCCCAGAGTCAGATCTTTTGGCGAAAGGGAGTCAGATATAATGAATAAATCTGGTGATTCTATTGTCCTGATGGTCCATGGTATATCTGAAGCTGGTCCAGAAGTCCGCTACGATCTGGTACAAGTGCTGCAAAATCGACTTGACGACGCGGTACTCGACGTTCTGGCTGTCATGCTCGCTCGCAATCCAATGTGCAAACTCACACCGTCGGACGTGCGATTTATACAACGTCAGTATCGGCCACCAGAGTGCTGCATTCGATTCTCTGTTCAGGAGCCGTGCCTTAGTCACATGGCGGCTTTGGGTTTTTATTTACGCCAGAATATCTTGCAATTTGTTTATACACCGAAGTACACCGACACCAGACCATCTTCGCACTTCCAGGACTACTCACAGCCAGAGACGTCGAGCAAACATGTCCCTGAAACGGATATCTTTCTGTACAATCAGAGTCAGTCAAGTGGTAGTCGAGGTATCGCTTGCATCGCAATCGCTATTGTTAACGAAAACGGTGACATCGTTCCAGCTGATAAAGAACATGCTTTTCATCCCATGACAATGGAATGTCCGAAAATCATCGATTTTGAAAATGTCGTACAAACTACTGTTTATCCTAATCAGAATTGCGTATGTTTCTTCATTTTATTTCATCGAATAACTGTAAAAATTTTCGCTATAAATAATTTGGTACTTTTTTAGGGAAGCAATGAGGTTTCATCCTCGCCATATGTCGAATTTCGAGTTTGGAAACAAGGCCGAGTAAATTTGGAAGCCCTAATACTAAAGCTTAAATCAGCTGTAAAACACGCGCATTGGGATTTAATAACAGAATACAACTTTTTGCCTCGACCATTGGCAGTACCTATTGAATCCGATGAAGTGCCTGCGAAAGAGAACTCTTTTGATGACAATCCTATGAAACTCACACCTTATGAATTAGGTATTTGATGTTAACAATTAAAATTCTGTGCATTTATTACTGCGATACTAACTCATATTTTTTTCGTAGGAGAAAAGGGTCGCTTAGAGAAAATATATCATCTAAATTTAGTATACTGGCTGCAATTCGGTCTGGAAATAGCTGTCCCAACGGTTAGAAGACACGCCGTTTATTTAGAACATCGACATTATTTACCGATTATGTTACGCGAACTTCAAAATCTCGTGCAAAGTCATGCTGTTGACACGACTGCTCGTGCTTTTGGACGTTTCCAGAGGCAACCTTTCATCGATGGTAAAGAAGATCTCATCGACGAAATAATGCTAGATAAATGCCTTGAAACCGGAATCAATTGGACAAAGCTCGCTGAAATTGAAAATTCTGTAGAGAATGTTGTTTTTCTACCCTGCAATCCAACCAAAGACGAGCAAGAAACATACACAAAAGGTTTATTGATCGCTCGAAATTTTTCGCAATGGAAAGCATCGAGTAGTAGTCAAGTCTGGTCTGAACAATTAATTCCCAAAGGTACGTATAAATAGCAAAAAATGTTTTTCATTTTCCAAAACTAACATTACTAATTTTGTAGTGGCCGATCAAAAACTATTGCAACAGTTTAACCCTCTGATTAGGAAAAAAATGTTCATTCCACGACAAAGACTTTTGTTAGCTAAAGTGCAAAGTAAACACGTAAGTTATAGATCCAATTGATAATTGCATCTTTTTTTTAATATTGTTCATGAGAATGTTACTTTTTCAGATAATAATTTATATGTATAATTGGTCAAGGGAGCGCTCAGAAAAATTGACACGCCAAATAAGTAGTTTAGCACGTTGGTTGTCATCGCGCTCGATACTACATTCTAGCCTACAGATGCAGAAACTGGGCATATTTCATCATCAGTCCTTGCACCATTTCAACGATCAAAGATCAGACGATCGGTCAAACTCCTTCCAACACATCGCAGACATGGAAAGCCTGGCAAAATTTCCAACTCAGGAGAATTCGGACAACAAAGAATGGCCTCGACCAGCCAGTAGAGTGCAAGTACCGAAGCAATCGCCGGGTCTAGGATTAACATCGATCCAAATGATGGACCAGGTGATGCGCGATGCCAAGCCGAGCGGCCAGTATCCGACCAATACGATCGATCCTGTCGTCAAATCTGCCTACGATTTTCAGGAGTTGAGGCAAAAAGACAAAAAAATTAAAGACGACCTGGACAAACTGTACGCTATTTGGCAAAGTCGCAACGTCCTTACCAGCCTTCCCATTAGCCAGTCAATGCTAAACTCGTTCAAACAGCACTCTCGGCTCATTCACCACTGTCACACGCCCCTGCTGTTTTTGCCGATGTGGAGACTAAAGTCCGCCGCGACGAGAGATCATACCCTTGCACCGCCCTTACATCAACTCGTTCAGCCAGAAAGATCGCGAACAGCGAGCAATGCTTCTTCCAAAAAACAAGATTCCACTGCAGTGATCGAGTGGCATCGAACCATTTGCCAATGTATGCTCGCTGAGTACAAGCAATACCTGCAACAGCTCGGCTTTAATCCCATCAAGATCGAAGCTTCTGGGAAAAATAAAGAGTAAGTATAATCGCCTTTCAGTAATTGGAATTGGTTACATTTTTTTCTTCACTTTGCAGGCAAGACGATCAGTTCTTGAAAGAGGCAGTTTATCTAAAAAAATCGATGCTGGGTGGTGTACTCCTTTTCGAGATTCATCTTTCTGAGCCGTTTTTCGTCGTGAAAATCCGTGTAATCGAGTGCAGTCGACTGCAGCGGAACAAAGCCCCAATGGCTAATCAGTTCATTCAGAGCTTCATTGATACTTGTGACAAAATCAAAATAAGCATGCATCTCCATTCGTTCACTTATGACTTTCACCTGCGCTGCATACATTCGTACATTGCGAACAGTAGTTCGGGGGTTCTTAAACATGGTTATCATCTTACCCATTTCCTCGAGGATTTTAACAAATATTACACCAAAGCCCCGAACTTTGCTCGCAATCTTATGTGTAGCAGTAAGTATTTCTGTTTGTACTTACAATAGATGAACATCGTTTTAATCTCTAAAATTTGTTAATAGGTGCAGTAACTGTTCGTGATCTAGAGATACCTGCCCACACTTTGTATCAATACTTACTTTCGCACGAAAACACCTACGGCATGCAAGTGATAGCAATGCTGGACGACGAAGACGACCTGACTTGTACTTACGTGAGAAATCAGGGTGGTGATAGCTCATCGAGTGAGCAACACAACACGGAGTACGTTTTGGTGCGACTGCAGAGCACTCCTCTGGTTAGTTACCACGACGGGACCCAGGACACACGCTACATCAACGATTTCGACGTTGCTCTCGTTGTTACCTGGGCAGATCAGTTCCTCCCTCACGATGAGGACTGCCGAGAGATGACGCTCAAGTTTTACCTCATGCTGACTAGCAAACGCGAAATGTATCCGAAACGGGACGCAGAAAACAGCGGCATCGGCAAATTCCGTACCGTTTACAGCGTAATGAAATCAATGGCGGGCTCGTCGCAGCTCGACAGTCCTTCGGAATCGAGTCCCGCTTCCATAACCAGTCCGTATTTCAATAAGAGAGCTCGAATTGAAGGTACATCGTTATCCAGGGAGCTGCCGGTCGGAAGTGTCAGGTCAGCTCTGTTGGATAATGCTGAATCACTCAGCTCTCTGAAGGAACACGTCGATGCGGAGTCTTTGGATCCGGAGAGCTCGACTATCGATGTTATGAGCGACCCCACTACCTCGATGGCACCTACGCCACCACCGGTGCCCAATTCACCTTTGACTGCGGCCAACGTGGTACCATCATCTTCCTCGTCCACCGGAAATCTTAGTCAAATTCGCCAGGAGTCCATAAATTATCTTGGTTACTATTCGTCACATGAACAATTGATGCAGCAGTTGATAATTGCACAAGCCAAGATAGCTCGCGAGCACATAGAGACAATGATCGAACAGGGTGCACGTCATTGTCGTACGCATTTACTATGGAACCGACTGCTCGAAAGCCGCTCGACCATGACTTACGCTGAATTTACGGAACTTCGGAAATTGGCGAACATTGAATCGCTATCGAGCCTCGATCCAAGACTAAATCCTCTGGTCAATCAGCCAATTGGTTGGTACCAGACTTTGGCCAAACTATTGCAAAGTAGATATCAAGAGCATCACAAGCAATTCAACGCCCCTGATGGTAATATCACACATCATCTGATACTTCATCCGAATTACGTGCAAGCATTCATGATGCTAACCATAGACTTGCACACTTGCAGAGGCGTAAGTGAACGATCGATTCATCACTTTTTTATCAAAATTCCGATATTGTTTTCTATTGTAACTTTTTACTTTTAGGAATTATCCGCTGTGTATCGAAAATCTGAAGAAATTACGAGTACGCCATTTACCATAAGTGATATCCATAGTCTGGTTGAAGACTTCGTTAATACGTGCTGTTTTCATCTCTGGGTGGGACTTAACTCCTAGATATATAAGCATACAAAAATCATTTATAATATATGTATATTTTTTAACTTTTCCAAGATGAAGCTTGAATGCTAATATAAAATAATTATATTTGTTACGTAATATCTGTTGTGAAAAATAAAAATTTATTATTCTTGTTAACTATTGTAAAAACATTCAATCGAGGAGTTGAGGAGCGGAGAGGTTTTCATAGAGTGTAAAAATTTGAGTTTGAAGTTATTATGTACAGAAATGTTTTATTCTTAAATTATGCACAAATTGCAATCAATACAAATGTATCTGAAACAAAGCAAGTTGGGGGATATCTCAGTTTTCTTGCTGCCTTACGTGTTTACAAACGTATACACTTTTATTTCATTGTAAAACTGGGGCAGTTACTTCACTTACGTTAAGATGTCATTATAAAGATAGTTTCGTTAGCCGGCGTACGTTGTATCATTAATTTTTCGAAGATGCTACTTCTTTTTTAAATCATCACTCGATTTGGTATCCGTTAATACGAAATATCAGACTTGTCCGATCGGTTGTTGTCAAAATCCAGAAGCAGAATTACCGCAGTATTTATATTCATACTCATTTTTTGCATGTTTATTAAATTGAATGGTAACATCAATTTAAATGGATCTTAAATCACTTTTATGTGTTATTTTTTTAGCTCTTTTTTACACAGTAAAGCTAATTTCAGACATCCACAAGTTTCTATTAAGTTTATAATATAGTTTAATAAAGGTAATGCGTGTTTACGCTAAGTCTTCGCATCGGCTAGATATTGTAAAAACACTTTTCATTCTTTCCTTATCTTTCCCTCTGGCACATCATGCGTTAGTGTGGCTACAGAAATTTAAATTGACTTTTCCTCTTTTTTCATAGGATGATAAATCATCGTGAAAAATGAACAAGTTATTTTAAGAAATGTTACTGTAAAGCATTTAATGTATAAATTAGCAGGCATCATATAATTATGCATCAGAAGAAAAGAGAGAAAACTGAGGAATTAAAAATAAATCAAAGTAAGAAAATATTAAAAATAATAATGGAGTATAGTTGAAGAAAATCACGGTGTAAGCTTAATAGGCAAATAAGAAGATTAGAGGAAAAAGTAAACCACCTTTCAGAACGCTTTAACAAGCGCAACACTTTTTCTTCTCTTATCAAACTCACTAACGCGAGTGCACTTGGCGTCTCTCTTTTCGTTTGTCCACATATCAATCATCATCGCATTGTGTTAATTATCATTTTGTGTAATACACTTTTCTCATAATTTTTTATTATTACAATTATTTTTTTATAATCTTATATGATTAGCCAATCTGATCAGCAAATACATTTATTTCTTCCATGTATTAAATTAACAATCAAATGAATCAAACAAGCACTGTATTCAAAAAAGTAAAAATCTAATAGACGTATTTCTTGAGTATATTAGCTATATACTTAATATACTTAATAATCATTAACGAAAAATAATTAAGAAAAAAGAACGAAATCAATTATTATATCACGTATAATCGAAAAACAGAAAAAACAGCATCGAGAAACGGTAGAACTGCAAAAAATGCACAGTAGCAGCCATAGCAATATCGTTCATTGTAAAATATACGTATCTACTCGAATCCATCGATTTTTTTGCTCTTTTAGATTTGACTATGCATACGTATTAGCTTATTTTGTCGTAGCAACTAAACTTTCATGGACACGATTATATTATATTCGAGCTATTTTTGCAATTAAAATTAGTACAAATACCGTAAAAATGCTAAATTTTTTCGTACAATGTTGCAATCACTATTTCGAGTGCACGTTTATTATTATATCAACAAGTTCATGCGTACTAAACTCGGTGAAGTGGCCGAGAGGGGGTATAAAAATAAAGCACAATGATACCGATCAAACAGTTATATGTTTTCATATTTTAAAATAATCGTATTGCTTAGGCTACTAGTTTTGCATTTAATTTCTCAATAAATGTTTCAAATTTTATGCAAGAACTTGTCACACAATAATGGTTTACATTAAAAATTAAACCATCGCGGATGTTGTGTGTTTTCGAGTGATTTCTAATGATAATCACTTTTTAAATTAAATATTTCTTTAAAAGTGTAAGGAGATGTATTGTTGATTACAAGTGTCATTATTTTTATTTCTTATCAGTAGCAAACAGTCTTAAGACGAGCATAGGTTAATTCTTCAAGTCACGTTTCAAAAATCTTGTGTGATAGTTCATGTAGTAAGTAGAGGGTTAATGCGTTATTTTTTATAATGCCGATGCACATAGTTTATAACTTGATTTGTATTGTACAATGTTATATTGTTTACACATTCACTTATATATAATTCACACATATATAAATCGCGAATTTTCTCGAACACAGTCACTTTCTACATCTCAGGCATTTAATTTTAACCGCATTATGATAACCCTAACTCTGACAGTTAACGGGCACAATTTTCTTTGAGAAAAATCTGCCATATCCTCTCACTTACTTTCTATTTTAGTGTTTAACGTCTTACGTTGTAATTTATCCTGCGAAAAAATGATCGCTTTCATGCGTATCAGTTAGTCGCGGGGCTCATATCAATGTGGTTTGCTTTTAGATTGTTTGGGTATGTTGAAGATTTAGATGCTGCTAGTTGTTCGCTATCTCATTTTTTGTTCGTTAATTCATTAATATTGTAATGAGTTGTAACTTTTTAAGGGGGAATTTTTTTTATGTGCACCTGCGTCACGCGCGAGTGATGGGTCGTCGTGGAGCATATTATTGATTGAACGTGTTGCTTGAAGTGTTCACGATGAATTCAACGTTGCCCTTAGCCACTGGTACCATTGACCATGGTCTCTTTGGGCTTGTTATTCTGTGGGGCTCCACGACTGTAACGGTTGCGTTGCTCACGACCCTTAGGACCGCTTGGCTGATTACCACCGTTTCCTACGTTTGTTGTAACTGTCACATCATTACTCGATGGTGCACCGCTGTTTTCTTTGACTGAATTTTGTTCCATAGGACCAGCACTGCTGCCTAGAATTAAATGTTTAAATTATCGTAAAGATTAGAAGATAATATCAAAATTATTGCGAAGATGCAAATGTGTAATAATTGCAAAAAGTGTGATTATAAGCCGAATGAATTTTCTTTCTATACACACCGACGCACATATACACTTATCATGAGTATCAGTGAATGGTCGAAGGTTTGAGTTTTAAGAAAATTTACCTCGGCGACTACGAGACGGAGTAGAACTGCGCTGCCGATAGCGTCGTATACGCCTTTTCTGCCCTTTGGAGCCACCTTCCAAACTTGATACCGATTCTAAATACATACAAACCATTGTGACCATTTATTAATTTTGTGATTTCGATTCATGTTGATTTTTTTTACATTAACGGTCAACACCCACATATTGAGATTAGTAATAGGCGTTAGTTAACCTAATCACGAAATGGAAAACACTAGAGATTTGTTAAATGGTCACAATTTTTTGCTGCAAGTTTTATGTATAATCTTAAAGCTCTACTAATTTCAAATTTTAAAATAAATTCTACTTGATTTACTTAAATAAGCTAGTGAAAAATAGTTGAATGTTCCGGCTCTAATAAATAAAATATTTTCGTATAAGAATTTGGAATAGTAAAGATCACTTGCATAAATAAAAAAATTAGGATTTTCTGTTTTTACTATTACGTGCTTTGAAACCCAAGAATTATCACAAAATTAGGGTAGCATGCTAGTTAAATCGCGGAAACGTTAATATTGCGATTTATTAATGTAAAAAAAGAATCGTTACCTCGATCAACGCTAGATACATCATGGCTATCGTGAACATTGTCATCATCGTCATTTGTTCGACGTCTGTCGTCCCTTCGATCTCGTCGTTGAGCATTAGGGCGTCCACCTCCACCTTGTCGGCCACCACCATAACCACTTCCTTGATAATTACCGCGTTCTTGATGATGAACACCCCTAGGTGGCAAATCACGTATGCGATCATCATTGCTTTCCATCGTGTCTCGGCGCATTCCTACGGAAATAAATTTAGTAGTTGGGCATTTTCTTTTCACCAACGATTCTTCTCAGTAAGTCTATTATATTTACCACTGTTGTGTCTAGCAGGTGCTCTCCCTCTGCCACCACCCCGACCTCTACCAGACTGACCTCCTCGTCCACCACGGCTGTTAGTAGTCTCTTCTGTACCCATTGGCCCTCGCCTAGTGGCTTGGAAGTTGTGCAATGGACCAGTATTTGTTCCATGCATGCTTCTTAACTGTTGGTCGATTTCGAGTTTTTCTTGTCTAAGTTTTTCTACTTCCTACACAGATTATTTGTGTAACGATATTGTCAGAGTGTTGAATTTTACTACATATCAATTTTATTTATCTTCCAGATTTTCTAATTTACCTTTAAATGGGCTAAATGGTATTCCAATAAAACTTTGGCATTTGAGATACTTTCTACAGTACCTACAAATACAAAAGGTACTTGACCTTCTTCACGAGGAATTGTTGGTTGAGGTTCATTGTCACCTTCTATTTTCACTCTTACCTAAAATGAATTTTAAGCGTAAAATTTATAAATTCCAATTTGAAATCCACTTCAAAGTATTTTGTCAATCTTACAACGCCATGTTCCCAAGTACTTACAACTCCACTTTTATCCACGATTTCTTGGATAATTCTTCCATTTTTACCAATTACTTTCCCAACAAGGATACGTGGAACTTGAATGGATTCTTCACTGTATTCTAATATAGAGCGAGCGCGTTTTACAGCTTCGTGCGTCTTAAAAAAAAATTGAGTTTTAATATACATAATAATGCAATAGTGATTATTTTAACTTTAAAAATTTTACCTCTCCATGAATTTTGAAAGTGCAAGAATTTTCTTCTAATTCTATGTTGGTAACACCTTCAACCTTCCTTGCTGTTTGAATATTGGATCCATGAGCACCAATGGCAAGTCCCATAAGATCATCTCTAACACTGAATTCATCTGTGTACCTAAAAAATAAAAATATTTTTTGGTATTATAATAAATAAATAATTATAGTTTTTAGTACATGAAGAAAGCTGATGAAAATATTTCACATAGAGTGCGAGGAAACAAGGATTCTTAATTTTTTAAACCTATAGAATTCAACATTAGAAACAACTATTGAAGAACTGTTGAAGAAAAAAAATCTTATGAAATTTACAAGGTGTGTTACATCTCTAAAGAAAAAAATTGAAAAGTAAAATCATTCAAAATCTGCAATTGTAGTTCTTATTATCATTAGGTCATGTTGTTTTAGAGCTTTAATAATGAATTTTGATCGATGCTTTGTTTTTCATTTACTATGGTAATGTTCAATGAAAAAATAAATACATTTAACAAAGGGTAAGATAGAAGGGCCATCATTTGTAAATTTAGAAGATTTTTTATGATTTTTTGAATGTAAAGAAGTTAAAACTAACAATTTGAATGTGACAAACTAAAAGATAAAGATTTTTCAATGCAAGAGCCTGGAATAGGATAGATAACAGTTTTTGAGAGAAAAAAAAACTACTAAATTGTATGTAATATTATTTCTATTTAGTGTCACATGAATAAATATACTAAAGATAAAATCAAATGGTATATTACTTTGCATATGAAGTGGTAAAAGCATAAACTTATATGATCTACACTGCACTTGTGGCATGCATGAACGTGTGTAATTTTAATACATATTTTGGGAATTGATAAAAAACCATTGTGAACTTTTACATAGTACAAAAAGCTAACAGTGGTCTAGACCACACAGCATGGGTCTCACCTTGAATTTGTGTTCGCTCCTGTCTCATAGTCTGAGACACGTTGGTATGCAAAGTTGTTTGATCTAAATTTTCTGAAATAAGAAAGAAAACCCTCTTGTAACGTGGGCTCTTTACTTTGACATACATCAACTTAAAAAGCTCTCATAAGACCTACTTTTTTTTCACAATATACAAATTACAAAATTTAATCTTTTTCAAATTCAAAATTTAATAAAACGAGCTTCAAAACTTACATGGAAGTTGATACTATCAACCAGTTAATAATTTCATCAACTGGCTTATAATTTTAAGGATGGCCCTACTTTTTATTCATCAAATTGAACTAATAGGGTGTACCAATAATGCATTCAATTTTTACCCAATTTGGTAATTGGTAATCAAATTGTTATTTATGGCAATTGCGACTCAAGTGAAAACTACAAGTGCAATATTGAATTATCATTTGTTTTCAAACTACAGTACGACTTGATATGAGATGAGAAAATGTATTAAGGCCTGTGTACAGAACATCATATGCAAAGCATCGATCGCAATGAGAAATTAATTCTTTTTTTAAATTAGAAATTAGTAACAAAATTTTAACTATTTATGGAATTGCATCGCCTTTCATTAGCTTATACTTCAGCCAGAAACATGTACTGGCCAAAATTATTGGCAGTTAGAAGTTTTATTATTTGTAATGAATTGAATGAAGAACTTTACACTTACATCTTGAATTTTCACTATGAGTAATATTTTGTTTAAAGACATATGCACAGCATACATGCAAAGAAATTGTTAGAAAAATACAACTATATTTTTAAAAGGAATGATTTTAGCTGAAGGATTATCAAAATTTCATCATCATAAATAATTAATAAAAATCCAAGACAGAATGAGACTAGATTTTCAAATTCATATTCATGTTAGTGGTTAATAAGAACTGTCACAGAAGAAATAAATAATAAAATGGATATAAAAAAGAAGATAAATGCAAAATTAAATTTTACTTACACTCCTGATGATTGCAATTTAGTTGATTCAAGTTGACGAGCAGCTTCTTCTGTTCTTTTTAATAAAAGTACCTGCAAAAATATTATAATGATCAATGTAGTTTAAAACAATTATAATACAAAGTTTATTAAATAAAATACAGAAAATATTTAAAAATTTTATCAAATAAATTAGTTTATTTGTTTAAAAAAGACCACTGAAAGAATGACTTCAGAGTAACTAAAATTAATTACATTATAAACAGTATTGAGCGATTTGATTCACCATTACCTTTTGTGTTAAATTGCGTAAATGCATGTCTTGAAGCATTTGACAACGTCGACTCAAACTTTCTTGACGGGAGATGGCCAGCAATACTCCTCGTTCAGGCACATACCTACACACTGCTGCATCAATTACCTTTTGGAATTCCTTATGTACCCCATCCATTTTTGCACTATTTTAAATGAAATAAAAAAATTCATCATTTAAACCATAAAATTTAATTGGAAGGTAATGGTAATTGAATAATATTAATCTTACAATTCACGTAATTCCTCAGGTACATCTATCTCAACTTTGAAAAACGAATTTTTGTCAATAGGAGGATTTGGATTTTTTGGTCTCAATCTTTCACTGGCAACAATTTCAGTATAAGCGCAGTCCCATCCCAAGTATTCTATGACTTGAAAACCACCTTTTGTCATCTATAATTTAGATTCACAAAGATAAGTTTATTGATTTAAAATAATATTTGAAAATTTAAACTTTTAACTTACGTTAATGACAGCCTTCCACCAGCCACTAGCTTCTTGGTCATTTGCTCTAGAGAATACTTCAATTTCTTGACCAACTTGAAATTCTGGTTTTGGACCTTCTTTTGGTGGTAGACGTACTTTTGAAAAGTGGAACTTTGATTCTGGTTGCCAGCTAATATAAATGAAACATAAAAATTTATTACAAGAATTAGAAGCAATGAGATAAAAAATGTGTCAACTTACTCATTTTCAAAAGCCACAAGTACTTCATCTTGGTAAACATCTCTGACAAAGGCCTGTGTAAACAGATGAAAATCATGCAATGGTTAGTCAAATAAATTTTGCTCATAGATGAAAGGGTGTTATGTAGCGGAGGTTTTAAAATGTCCACGCCTTATTGATGAATAGAAAAGTTAAAACGGAGCATGTGTGGAAACAAACCGAAAGTGAAAGTTAAAAATAATGGGAAAGCGCAACGAAGCACCGGGTGCTATTCAAGTCAATAAATTTCGTCGTACACACCTACCCCAAAACAAGTTTATTAGGGAAACAAAGAAAAATAATCATCAAGCCGGCTCGGTCGAGCCTATGCCAACAAGACAAGAAAAGAAAAGTCATTCTAAAAAATCAATCGAGTGTCAAGGGTGTGCTTCGTAAATGTCTGGAGGGATTTTCTCAACAATATAGAGAGCAAGGAAGGTATATATGTTATATACAGAGATGCAGTAGTACACGATGGCGTCGGGGGCGGCCGGCACTTTGGGAGCACAGGGAGATGGAGTTTTTCGCCCATAAGCCGGCCGTATCGGGAGCGGGTTTGACGCGTCCGGGCAGGGTCGATTGCCGAAGGACCGCGAGGAGAAAAAGCCGGCTTAATTGTGATAATAACGCACCTTGTAATACGCTCCGTTTTCGCCGCATACTTCGACTGCGAGATCTTCCATCTTGCTTTTGTCTCTGTGTGGTTGGTGTTGTGTGTGCACGGGCGCCCCCGAGTTGGACGACTCGTCGCGCAGCATAGCCGCGGGGACGATCGTACCAGCAGCAGCGGCAGCAGTAGCCAGCTTGCCTATATATATTTTTGCAAAACGGGATGCGCGCGCTGCGCCAATGATCTACACCTCACCACACGCTGCTTTTTAGGAGCGTACGCACAAGAAGTTCCGGCCCTTCGTTTAGCCAAGCAGTATAAATAATACAGCGCAGATCACGGATGGCTTTTTTGTTTACGTGTATGATTGTCGTGGCAGTTGGCTGATCCGATATCGACTCGTTGAGCTGAGAAATTTTCAGTAGCACTGATGATCGACGCGTCTCGGCGATCCGTCCTACGAAACGTATAAGCTAAGACTGTCTTTTTTTACACGAGTTTGAGGTTATAAGGGTCCTTCTGTTGTTCAGCGCGCACGATTGTATCTAAGAGCGGCACTCGTAGTCGCGCGGTGCTGCTGCTAGCTGCTCTCTCGAGATTTTTCGATTGGGTGATCTGCGCTCGCTGCGGCGAGTGGTGCGAACGAAACGCCGAACGCCGCCTTGGTTCTGGCGGCAAGAGGCTCTACTTGTGCGCGCCGTGCCTAAGTATATGCGGTTAAGCAGCGATCGTCGCCGAGTCGTCAGCCGACCGAGCGGCGATGAAATCATCTCATGCGTATTAGCTTTCACACACGCCTGTTAGGCAATATGGCCAAAATTCGGCCGCGAGATGACAGCAGCGTCGTAGGTCAAGTCATGCGCAGATGCATGATTTTTGTGACCGGATAATCTCGATAGCAGTAGATATTTTTCTTCGCGACCCTTTGACAGTTTGTTCTGAATACTAAAAATAAATCAAAAGTAAATAAAAATAATGAATTGTAGTGTCAAAAATTGTAAGGGGAAAAAAAAATTTAAATTCCCAAAAGACCCTGAATTAAGGAAACGATGGTTGGAAGCAATTGAAAGACCGAACTATAATCCAAAGTCGTGTCATGGTTTGTGCACCAAACATTTTCAACCAACTGATATTTACACAGAAAGTGTCATAGGTAAGTAATATTGATAACTTTTTACTAATTTGTTCATATTCTTGAAGTTTTTCTTATTTCATTGGAAAGATAATTAACTGCCTATTTTATTTTATAGGAGGATATGAAATGAGTCGTGTCAAATTAAAAACTAATTGCATTCCAACCATCTTTTCTGAAATAGAAAGAAAAAAAGAAGAAGCACCCTCATCGACAGTATGTTATTTTTTATCACTTTTTAGCATAAAAATTGCATATATTTATTCAGTATAAATATTGAATTTGTTTATTGTTTTGCAGGTGACAGAAGTACAAAGTATCAGCAATCCTCACTCAATTAATAACAGTGACATAAATGATAAGGTATGGTTTATTGAAGTTTTTATGTACTGTATTACACATATTAAACATTTTTTCTTTCTGCAGGTCAATGAATCATCTGGTACAAACGAGTTCAATATGGATTGCACAGATTCACCTGTACACTCACACAATATAAATGAATTTGAGTGCAGTATTGCATCAGCTCAACAACAAGGCTTTGATGTGTATGAAGAACTATACGTCTCACCTGAACCAGTGCATAAAAATAATTTAATAAGTGAACAAGTGACCAAAAATAATTTTCACAAAGAAAATAAAGTAGTCGCTGTTCAAACTATTGGATGTGCAAAATACAACATTGAAGATTACAAAGACAAACCTAGACAATTGCAACACTTTACAGGATTGACATATGAAAAGTATATGGTTGTTTTGCAAACATTAAAACCACTTAGAAATCACTTTGAGAAATTAGAAAAATCAAAAAATATTACAGTGAACAATCAGTTATTTTTAGTTTTGTGGAAATTGAGAAGAGATGCCTGTAATTTAGAGTTAGCTGAACACTTCAATATCAGTGAAACTTGTGTCAGTGAAATATTTCATGTGTGGATAATTTCTATGGCTAAATTGTGGTCCCTTATAGACATATGGCCAAGTAGAGAATTAGTGAATTTTTATATGCCTCATGTTTTCAAAAATAATTATCCTAAAACCAGAGTGACACTAGATGCCACAGAATTGAAGATAGATGCTCCCAACAATCCTAAATTAAAACAAGCTACTTTTAGTACATATAAAAATAGTAATACGTTGAAAGTTATGGTAGGGACTAGCCCAGGTGGCTTAATATCTTATATTTCTGAGCCTTATGGTGGTTCTACTAGTGATCGTCAGATAATTGAACGCAGTGATTTGAGGCAGAAATGTAAAGCAGGTGATGTGATACTTGCGGATAAGGGAATCATGGTACAAGATTTGTTTGCCCCATGCGACGTCACTGTGTGCACACCTACTCCAATGGTCAGTGGAAATTTGTCGCACAATGTAATTGTGAAAGACAGAAAATTGTCCAAGCATAGAGTTCATGTGGAGAGGATTATTGGACTAATGAAAACATATACCATTCTTTCAAAGAAACTCACTCGTGATCTTCTCCCTTTATCATCAGAAATAATCAGAGTATGTATCATGCTGGCTAATTTTAAAGATAATATTATGTAAGCTTACACATAATAAATAATTAATGTTGAGTTTAACAAATAATAAGAAAAATACAATTTCCATGTAAAAATGATTTTTATTAAACATTTTTAACAAACAATTTTGAAAAAACATTAAACATATTTAAGAACAATACAAGTTTAAGCCATGCAATTTTTTTATTAATNTATACTAAATAAAGTTTACCTTTCAACCAACTCGGATTTTCGTCCAGTCACCCGGGCCCCTCTTTCTCTCAATAAATGTTGTAATTGTTTTAATTTAAGGCTTCCATATTTATGATCGAAATCGGATCCTTTCTCTTGTTTGTTGGTGAAAGTTCTCATATTGAATTAATCTAAGAAAACAAAGTTTGTACAGAAGATAATAGAAAATGTTGCATTGAATGATAATAACAAAAACAATAACAAAACCCCCTAACCTAATTGTTATTGCATATTAAACATATTAAATAACTTACCTTTCAATTAATTCTGATTTTCTCCCAGTCGTCCTGAGTCCTCTCTCTCTCAATAATTGTTTCAAAGCAATTACACTAAGATTTCCGTAAATATGATCCATTATTTTAAATACCGTGCAAATTTCGATCGGCAATGGCGACGAGATCGAAAGCGTGTTTGTCGGTGGTGCGCGGACGCCAGTGCGCATATTTTGACCTTCGACGCTGCTGTCACCTCGCGGCCGAATTTTGGCCATATTGCCTAGTAGGTAGCACATTTTATTGGCTCGTTCGGGTGTAGCGTTACGATTTTCGAGGTGCCGCCCGTGCCTCGGTCTTGCCCCCTTTGTGATCTCATCGACCATTTCAAGAGAAATGCAAAACAAAGACTCGTTTGGAGCTTGGTTTATGGGCCATCGTTTGTTTATCGCGAAACTAAAGGCTCGATTGGCAGTTTCAGTTCCAATCTTGATGTATTATTATTTGCTTAAACTTGCCAATCTACTGTACAAAAATAAAAAAAAAAATCTCATGGAGTTATTGATTTTTCAAGTACAAAAATACGTCTCTCGTAAGGAGTTGAGAACTTTTAAATTTGCCGCGCTTTCTACGAGGTCAGGGACGTGAAATGTAGCAGATAGTGCCACGCGAAAAGCGCTGCTGCTGACGAACAGGCTCTGCGCTAAATTTTCAAAAAGCACAATTTGAATTTTGTGCCTCGCGTATCATATAATCATATGATGTATTCTACCTTTATTGCATGTCTTTTGCATTCATTTAATATTATCTCGAGTTTATCGTTTTCAAAACAAGTGTCGTGTAATTTTTTTAAAATTTCTATTTGTTATAATAAAAGTACTCTGTGAGAAATCGATGCATTTCCGGTATAATACGCACGAGTATACAATATCTCGGGGAAAAAGAAAACATCATTGAAATTGATACTGTTCCGAGAACGTCGCTGATATTGCCTGTGATCTTTATTCAGGGCGTATATTATATACACACACACACACATAAGTACTGGTTGGCTTACGCACGTGAGCCACTGAACGAGAGGAATAATAAAAAAAGGAATATTAAATTCCCCGAGCGTTCTTATATTTATCTCGTACGCGCAGGCTAAACGTGTTGACGTCCGAACGAAAAATAAATGATCGAGGGATTTGGTTAATTGCGATTGCGACCGCATGCACAATACACACGTGTACATATCTAGCCTGCAACGTCGAATTACAATAATACTTTGTATTGTTTTATTATCAGCGATCGTGCGACGACTCCTGTCGTGTTCGACGAAAAAAGTTAATAATTACGATAACACGGCGTATGAATCATAACGCTCGCTCGACGTACATACGTACGTACGTAAGTTAAAATGCAAAATAAAATAGTCAAGCCTGTTGTTGCCGGCAATTTCCTAGCTGCCTTAATTCTATTTTTTTTTTCCTAGACCATTTCAATATTTTGACGACTATACATTGCAGCAACTGCAATTCTTACCGAGGGGATAAAGTGAAAAAATTCTTCAGTCGTTGCATTGAGCCAATTGAGTCCTGCGAAGGGTTTCACTGATAAAAAGTCGACAGATATTAGATCGAAGATAATTCAGGTTTTGATAATAATTATTCATCTGCGTACGATCGACATATTTGAAATCGTTTATTAAATTGTTTATCATTTTGATAATTTATTCTATGACGGATTTTTACATGAAATAGCATCGATCATTTTTCGATTACCGACCACAGATTGTAATCGATCGTAAAAAAAATCGTTTTGCTTGGAAAATTCTCCATCGGTAAACGTATCTCGAGTGTACGCGTCTTGATGCGACTGTTTATTTTCTTGATCAAGTTTTTGTTCCGATCTTTATTCATAACAACGACTCGTAGATAATAATGTAAATAACTACAATTTTTGCGACATGGCCATAAATTCATAATTATTATATTACACGACGTGTTAATAATTTCCGTGTAAGTAAAATGTTGTTGGCTGAAAATGTCACGATCACGAACGATAGTTCGCTGCTTACCTTGCCAACTTACTGTAAGCGTCGATCGATTTTTCTGAAATTTCAGCTATTTTTATTGCGCGTCGTTGTTTTCTTCTTTTTTGCGAGAGAAATTGAGAGTTTATTTTTGGCCTTGCAAGCTGAATATATAAAAATATTCTATTTCATGAATTCGCGCTTCTACAGGCGGCGAAGCAGTGGAAAAGAAGCGAATCGGAAAAAATAATGCAAGGGACGCGTATGATGGAACGTTTTTTCCACTCTCGAACGTCAAAAATTAAAAAAAAAATGTCACGCGTCCTTCGGTGCGCTTGGCCGGTGCGGGATGATGATACGGCAAAGTCGTTATAAAAAGTATGTGTATAAGCGCCGGAGCTGCCGCCGTCGCCGCCGTCGCTGGCGCAAAGTGTCATTCCTTGACCCGACTGGAACAATAAATTATTTGCCTCTCGAAATTTCTCGAGCGAAAAAAAATCTCATTTATTTCTTTTGTCGAGAGATGGAGAGAAGAAGCGCTCATGTCGAAAAATTAGCATACGGTCGAGCGCGGAAAAGTAATTGCTCCGCTCTATGTACGTCAGTAGCAGGATGCATTAAGACGCGCGCGCCAGGATAACTGCACAGTCGAGTGCCAAGTCAGCTGTTACATGTAATAGCTCGTGTCGCTGTCTCCAACTTACATGTGTACGACTGTAATTTTTTTTGCAAGCATTTACGTATCGAATGTGCCAGTGCAAGTCGCGAAAGAAATAAAAAAATAAAGAAGCACGCGGTGCGTCCTCGATGCCACTGCTGATCTTTGGCATTTAAACTAGGATAATACGGCTCACGCATGTACATAGATACCGAACGTATACACACGTAGAGCTAGGTAATTTGCGCAGATTTGCACGTACACATAGGCCAGGTTGCGCATCGCTAGAAAAAGGCAAACTCCCGACGAGAGCCTGCCTGCCTCGCTCCGAGTCGGTGCTGTGAGTAGCAGTTGGGGAGGGGACAGAGAAAAGAAGCCTATATACGCGCTCGTATGTACCTATCACTGGGGACTTGTGTTTATGTACACACACTCGCGCGCTACATACGTTACTATATACCTATATAGACGATTCGCATCATTACCATCGCATCATCATAACTTAACTGCGAAACTGATCATCACATCAGTGACTTTCCGCGCATCAGTCGCGTAGCGAGCTACGACCAAGCCACACAGCACAAGACGACGGTACGAAGACACGGTCTTAGCGCGCACCTCTCGTAACGTACATACATAACATTATAAGCCAGTAGTGGTATGCATCCGAGTGAGAAATCATTGTGCAGATAATTACTCGCGCGATACAAGTTTTACGCAGCGAGACAAAAGTTACGAAGAGAACCTAACAAATTGCAATTGTTGCGAGGATATCACGTATTTCGGGGTAAATAGCCAATGCTTCAGCTGTGAGCTCTCGATATTATTATGTGCTGCTGTTTCTAGTGTTTTGTGTGCCTCGCGTATTTATACAGTGAATGAGTCTTGACTCATATTTCGTGTTAGCTGCTGCTGCTGCTATATGGTGTCTATATATGTGTGCGTGTCTGATTCATCATTATTATATGTGTGTGTGTGTCTCTCTCTCTCTCTCTCTCTCTCTCCCTCTCTCTCTCTCTGTCGCTCTTTGTATATATAGGTATATACAAGTATACACGCACTTACACGACTTTATATACGTACGTTATGCTGATAACGGACCGCAGCCGTTGCTACTGCTGCTTTTGCCATTTACGCGAGACTCGTTTTCGTCAGTCAGTCAACTGACACTAGGTTGATTTGACGTCGTTATTTTTGACGGCTTCTTTATATTGTTTACTCTCGATTGGACACCCTTAAAATAGATCTAGAGTCTAGACTTCGAGAACAAATTAATAAAAGATACTTTTTCGTTCGTTCCTCGACAGGCCAAATAACGTTACAAGTATGTATATTTTTATCTCACCAAATGAAAAGGAGGTGCGTTACATTTAATCGACGTTGTTTACCATCATGCTCAACCATGGCGAGGATATAATAATGCAATTCCCTGGCATTTATTACCCCGGATAGCCTTCATGTGCATGTGTATATACCTATACGTGAACTGACAGTGCGTGTGTTAGCGAGAAACTTTCGCTTTTTCGATATTTCCACTCGGCTCTCGTGCAGCCATCACGGACTCGTTAAATTAGCACGAGATGTTCCGCTGATTTCGTTTGTGCATATTTTTTATGATTTTTTTTCCTTTTTTTTTGAGGTCGATATCTCCGTGAAGCTGAGCAGCTGCTTCATGTATAATACAGTATTCATGCACTGCACGAATGAGAATGTACTGGTATTGTCTTTGTTGACGTTTAACAGGATCTTCATATTGATGAGCATGGATAGAACAGCAGTACAAGTTTGATAATCAATCTTATTTGGAAGATAATAATTGTGCTCGCTGCTAGAAACGTCTTTCTCTCTCTCTTTCTCGCACTTTTAATCGTGTTATCGCCGACGGACTTCGCAATTAGTCCTCAAAGTTCGTGATTTGCCTGCGAAATGAGTCAAGTCATCTGCTTAAATTTAAATTAAAAGGATTGTTCCGTACAAGGCTCCTCATCTTGTTTATTATTATTTCGTGTACATAGTGCTGTGCAAGTGAGTATACATTCACATAGCTAGTGCTACTGTGCAAAATTTCGCAGTTCTACTTGACACTTTTCGCTAATATCACTCACTGGAATTTCCATGTTGTTGTCTTTCATGTTGTATTATCAGATGTTCAGTCGATTAGTTAAAATTCTCCATTTGTTTGACAAGTGTGTTTATCTGTATCCATGCACGTCTAGGGCGTGGGATTAATTCTTTTTTTCGTGGGAAATACATTTATACTGTTTTCGCGGAAATCTAACCTATTTCATTATTTGCAATCCCTATAGTTTTATAATTGTCGACTAGGACATCATTTTTTCTTCTATATTACGTACATTCGACGTTTTTTTTTCTCCTAAATTTTCAAAATACACATAAATTGCATTTTGTGATTGTACAGCTGTTTTAAAATGAATTTTACGATGATGGATAATATTGTGCAGTCAATTTTTAAAGTCTCATAGATTATTTTTATTTACGTTATGCATATTCATTCAAGATGACTCATTATTTATCTTATTAAAATATTATTAATTCAATATTGACATGTGGTAATACATGAATATGTTCAGTTGACATAATTGAGTGTGATACAAAAAAGAATTTCCTACTGAGATTATTATCATTTTTAATTTTTTGAAGTTTATCATAAAGAAAACAAAAAAAAAGACAAACAAATTTAATTGGTATTTTTTTCTTTCAGAATTTACAATTAAAAATTTCATTTTGCTATTCTTGTCTCTGAGAGGCAAGTATGACAGACAATTATTAAAATAAGAAGTTGAAGAATGTTGAAAGACGTTGAGACTGGAGCAGCAGGCTGCAATAGTTTACCTTCTAGACCTCGGAGACTAATTCCACGCTTCTCGCTCAGAAGACTACTTTACACAAGTCCTTTAATTGGTAGACGATTTTCAAGGCCTTCCAATAAAAGTAGTAAAGGTATAATTAAATATATTAAATTATATATCAATAGAAAATCAATTTCTGATTATCAATTAATAAATTAATAATGTAACTTTCTTTGTAGCTAAAGATGCAACTATTAAGTCTCCAGAGACAGAAAAGGATGAAGCCAAAGCAAGTCATGGTTCGAGTCATGCAGATTTACAAAGAACATCAAGTAACAAAGCAGCTGTGCCATCAGCTTCAGAAGCTGTTAGTATCAAATTGATTATATTTTGTAATTCATGTTCTTGATTTTATTTAAAAAACTTGTGAACTAAAATTCTTGTTTATGTAGATCAATGAAACTGGTATAACAGAATGCCCACTGTGCTTAACTGAGCATCCAACTGAATTTTTCCCTGTTATACAATCCTGTCATCATCGAAGTTGTTATGAATGTTTTCAACAGTATCTAAGAGTAGAAATTTCTGAATCAAGAGTTAATATAGCATGTCCAGAGTGTTCTGAACCTCTACATCCCAATGGTATGAATTTATATTTTTACTACTTAAAAAATTCCTGTTTGAACTTCATCTCATCTTTTGTTTATGTTTAAAATTTCTAGACATACGTATGATCCTTAATGACCAAGCCATACTTGAAAAGTATGAAGATTTTATGGTCAGGCGAGTTCTTGCAGTTGAACCTGATACACGATGGTGTCCTGCTCCAGATTGTAGTTTTGCTGTTATTGCCTCGGGTTGTGCCTCGTGTCCAAAGCTTCGTTGTGAAAGACCTGGTTGTGATTCTTATTTTTGCTACCATTGTAAAGCAAAGTGGCATCCCAATCAAACCTGTGATGCTGCTAGGGCGCAACGTACACATTATTATGATCGAAATTCTTCTCTAAGCTTTAGTCAGAGTGATTCACAACACAGTACGTAGATATGATTTCTATTTTTGTGTTTTGTAATTGTGACATCCTTTTTCTTACATAATTTGTGGTATTTCTTACAGAGGGCGAAGAAATAAAACCTTGTCCACGATGTCAGGTTCTTATTTTCAAAATGGATGATGGGAGTTGTAATCATATGTCATGTTCTGTGTGTGCCGCTGAATTTTGTTGGCTTTGCATGAAAGAAATAAGTGATCTTCATTATCTAAGGTAAGGAAATCAATCACGTTACTAATATAAAAAATAATTCATTAAGAACCGGTGCCAAATGAAGTACTGTTCAATAACATCTTTGAGTAATAGCATATTTAATAAATCGACATAAAAACGGTTGATAATAAACGTAGCGCGTTTTAAATTGCTCTGTTATCATGAAAAAAATGTTCTTGCTCGATAATGGATCTAGAATTGTAAGCTTCTCACAAGTAAAGAAATGCTACTATAAAATGATGCAAATTAATCATGAAAAAAGATAAAGTCGCATGAAACATTGTTCAAGAAAGATAGTACTAGTTTTTTCTCTGTATTAATTCACACTATTAATTAACCTGATCATGAAGCACAAATAATAAAAGGAATAAAATGTCCACAGTCCGTCCGGGTGTACATTTTGGGGTAAAAAGCCATGGTCCAGAAAGAAAAAAATTCTTTGGCAATTGGGTACATTAGTAGGAGCTCCGGTTGGCATTGGCCTTGTGGCTGGTATTGCCGTGCCTGCCATGGTCATAGGTAAGCAACAAGATTATGTTTCATATATACTCGTGCATGAATCTTTGAAGAGCATATGTATACTTACAAACTCTCGAGTTTTTCAAGAGACGTTAGCTAACGCTTAATCGGATTTGCAGGTATACCTGTGTGGGTTGGACGCAAATTGTACACAAGATATCAGAAAGCCAATAAGCACAAAAGAAACGCTTTCGTTGCCGGCGGTGTTACAGCATCGGTAAGTTATTTATAATGCAATATAATTTTTTTTGTTGTTCTTTGAGAGAAAAAATTTTGCGGGATCGTGCGTTTAATGCGTTACTGTGATCATCGGAACGTATTTATGATTTAACGACGTCAAATTCATAAGTGCAAGTATGGCACATCAATACAGATTATGAATCGTTACGCACTTGATGCGAAGCCTTTTATTATGCGAGCTACGTACACGCCTTCCCAGGTCAATTTTCCCCTAAACGTATACGCAAAATTCGCCAACAATTACAACTGTTTTCATCTCTAAAGCTCGTGGGCTAATAAGAACTTATCGTGGCACTCGCGCGTGCATGAGTAGGATGTTCAGCGCAAAAACATTTGTCATCGCAGAATTTCGTCGACGTGCGTTGAATTCCGATGTCAATTTTTCCACTTGAATGCGACGCAAATCGTAAGAGGGAAAATAAGGTAAACAAGAAAATATATGAAATTCGATTGCTCGTGACAGAAAAAATGAACCAACAATTATTCGACGATCTCGCTTAACTTTTATCATTACCTCTTCGTGCTCAAGTTAATATTGAAGATTGTTTGTATATTTATCTATATAACGACAACGATAGCAATAAAAAAACGAGGCATTGTTAGATAGGTATTATTCCTCAAAAAAACACGAATTTATTCTTTGTCTGAATTTCGTAATACAGCTAGGCGCAATCGACGAAGAACAAAAATACATAGTACTTATTATATATGTCGCAGGAAGCCTTATGATCTATCGTTTTTTTTTTCATCACTTACTTTTTGTCTCTATGCACACTCTCGAGCAGCGTTGAACGATAGATTATGCATATTAACGCCACTTAATTATCGATTAAATAGAAGTCGCTCGATTCCCGATCGCGAGTATGTGTCAATCGATTGCGCACTGCGGCGTTTACGCGATTTCGCAAGAAAAATACGCTGCAATAGTTTTCGACGATCAAGCACACATGTGTAATTTTTGCGTAGCGTATACATAAGTGACAGAACGTGCTCGATTATTTTGAGAAATCCAGATCAAAAAAATCGTATTGGAAAAACTAAGAAAATCAAGAAACGTTTTTACCTTTTTTTTTTTTTTTGAATCGCCACCGTTTACATAAAATTAATCTTTGATTGGCAGATTTGTCTACATGCATGAACGTGCGCTGTGATTATAATTTTTGCTGCGTTTTTTACATAATTATCATATTACTCACCCGGCAGAACTTATACGCACTCGGACTGATAATAATATAAATGTCAACCACGAGACCAATAATTTCATTTACTAAACTATTGTTTGCGTAAATCTCTCTTTTTATAATGTCATCGTTACATTACAAAGCAGTTGTATGTACATTATTACTGTCGTTTTGATTCTATACTTTCTCTCTCTCTCTTGCTCTCTCGCGTTTCATTTCTGCGTAATCTCACGTTAGCCTTGTACCTAATTTGCTCTTGCGTATACAAATTTAACACACGGATTATCGACCGAAATCTCACCGTTTGGAAAATCCGCATACGTATGTGAACGTCATTAAAACAAAGTCTACAACGAGTATACGTGCGTACGCATATTGTTTGTTTTAAAAAACAAATCTATGATAGTGGATACAATCGAATCGTGTAATGCTATATACATTGTTTGTGCCCTATCTCTTGTTTTTTTGAGTACGGTTTTTTTGACGAACACATAAAACTGTTGCTGGCAAAAATGTGCAAATGAGAAGCCTTGACGTTGGCCGTGTGTACGCGTCAAGAAATTTTTTTTTCGATTGACTATCGAGATGTGAATCGTGTGCTCAGCGCTGCACTATATAAGTCTTATCGGACACGAATAACAAATGAGTTATATCGGCTAATGAAAGTTGATTGAATAAAAAATTACGTTTGCATAATAAATCTACGCCAGCCATTAAAATCACTCGACGTCATTTTCACGCCCGAGCGATGTCAGGCCGTCGCAATTGGGCAATTATTGATTTATTAATAATATCAGTACATCGTATACTCATGATATTGAGTCATCGCAGCATATAACGTTTTGGCAATTAATAGTTACATGCAAAATCGATTGACGCTTCGTAACTTGCAAAGCTCACATAACGCATGTGTATGTGTACTGGTAAAATGACATCATCGAATTACACTTTATATGGAAGTTGTTTCGTAAAACTAGCTTTGCTATTATAGGTATCACTTTTTTTATATAGTTTCTAGGACTGCATTTCTCCTATTCCGCATTGATTAAAAAACAAGGCATTAATTAGCTAAACTCTCAGCCTTTATTTCATTTTTTTTTAAATTTATTATACAAATGAAAAAAGCTTGCTACTTCGTACAATATGATACATGTTTCGCACGCACCTAATCGTATTTTTCAATATTTATATAATGATAATACCTAGTAATTGATACATCGCGCGAACTTCGCGCATCCGTGAATATCAATCATCAAAGCTCTCTCGTTTGTAACAATTATTTTTTATGATTTTATATGTCGCACTCATACGCAAGATCACAACAGTCTCACAAGTTCTCGATACAATATACATGTAAATAAATATACTTGTGGATTCGAAGGACGCGACCTCCGATTTCGCGCTCACATTCACAATATTACAGACGTTTAATATAATAATATCCATGCTGTATACCGACATATACGTATTCCCTTTGCTTATCAATTTCATTCATGTATCGAGCGTAAACATGCGCGATATAATAAAAGGACACTACCTTGCTCTTCTCCGCTTCTTTGATTACAGCCGTGAGAGAGAAGCTAAATTTGTGCGCTATTGAAAAAAAAAAACAGATAATTCCTTGAGCAATCGAAAACGATATAACTTTTTATAACAAGCTTGGCTACGAATATAATAAAACAGAAAGAGTGTCGAAGCAAATCCGCAAAAGTGCCATCATCACTCGCGTCAATACTGATACATTAATACTGTTCGATTTGGAGTATTGTGCTCATTACTTTTGGCTCGTGTCGAGATTGGTGCGCTCTTAAACCTCGTCGGCCATGAGCACTCAGGTTTGCTGCTGCTGTTGTTCAACGACGTCCTTGAAGGCGAGCACTCCCTCGTTTTGCAAGTCCTCGAGCACATCGATGAGCCTCTGCTCGGTCATGGGATCGCCGAGGGCCACGTCGACCGAGCCGATGCACAACAGCAGGGCCAGCAGCGTCGAGCGCCTGTAATCTCGATCCAGGTCCGACCTGGTGTAATTCAGCTGGCTAGAAACGTCGAGGCCCAGAGTCGAGCAGCTGCCAGTGAGGCTGTTCCAGTAACCGTCGAGCAGAGCCGAGGTGTGTCGACGGCGCAGCTCCGTCGGTAGACTGCTGACGACGAGAAGAGCCACGTCGTTGGTCGGCCGACTGTAGGTGACCATTTGCCAGTCGAGGATGGCGCACTCGCAGGCACCGTCGTCGTTGGCTCGAAACAGCAGATTATTGCACCAGAAATCCGTGTGGGTAATGAGAGCCAATGGATCTTCTGGCGCCAAGAGGTTCGCAATGACCTCTTTGGTGCGAGGACGCAGAGCGAGTAGGGCCTCGAGCACGGCCTCGAGACCTGGACGACGCTCGAGAAAACGAGCTAGTTGAGGCAGACCGCGTTCGACTGAAAAACCAAACAAGAAACGATTCGAGTCCAATTGCTTCTTAGCCAACTTATTATAAATAATGACCGACTAGTCAACGTCTTACCCAATTGTTGATAAGAGTCCGTGGCTCTGGCAGTCTGAAAGAGAAAGGGATACCTCTCGTTCAAGGGCTTGCCCTCCTTGACTTTTAAGGTCAGCGAGAGAGCGTGTAATCTAGCGATCGCGTCGAGCGCAGCCTCGGCTTGTTTCAACGTCAAGCCACGGGAAAATTCGGCGCTCTCGTATCCCTTGGAAGCGAGATTTTCCAGGACCAAATAGGACTCGGGTGGCTCGGGGCTCTCCTCGCTGCCGCTCGCCGGACTGTAGTGCGCGTGTATGCATCGGGCTATCGGCAGCTCGATTGGCGGCGCCGACTCCTGGCGATTTTTCCGTTGAAACACCTCGAGATCGGGAATGACCTGGTATTGAACAAATCGTCAGTTCTCGTTTTATTCGATTAACGCAAATTTGCATAGGCGCAATGCGTCATCGGGCCATGTAAACAAGTCGCATGCAAGCGAGAAGTTACATAAAAAGCACGAGTCGCGATTTATGCGTCGATCATTTTCTAGAAAGCAACGATCGATTAATCACGTTTACGTGCGATCGCGAGGCATAAAAAGTGGAAAATTACACCGCTGCTGACACACGGCTGCAGCAGTAGCAGCTCTCGTACCTGCGTATAGAACCTGATCTCTCGAAGATCGAACTGAGCCTCGGTGACGAAAAACCGACTGTACGGATCCTGCGGCAGTCGCTTGACAATGAGGTTGATCTGCTCGGCTGCTTGCTGAGGCGCTCGTCGGTACTCTAGACCGATTGCCAGGATGTCGCTGAGTACACTCTCGCCGCTGTTGCAGCCGGGTCTGATGGTGAACTCGACGACCTCGGGCTGCGAGTCTTTGCCGAGGTACTCTTGCAGGACACCCTCCAGCCAGTCGCGAGATATATTCCAGTCGGCGTAAGAAACATCAGTTTCTTCACTGTCCGACATGGTATTTCGCGTAAGCTACTCCTGATGTAGGTAGGGGCTTAGTTCTATGTTAATAGTTTGATTATCGTTGACACGCAGTGTTGTTAACTTCCGCCTGAAATTCAATCGTAAACGTGAGTCTTCCCCTTGATACGAACGAGTATAGAGTAAGCATGCAGGTCAGAGGGAGCTATTTAATTCAACTACGTCGAGTACCACACCCAAATTAGAGACAAAACCCGTAAAGCTTATTACAGAGAACAGAACGAAGCATCAAAAAGTAGTTTTACGAAAGTATCTAGCTATATATTGCACAAGGATCGAGTCAACCTCGAGTTCACAAACTTTTGCTTTGTACGTACACACATAAACTTTACACTTTTACGCAGGATAAAAAAACGCCGAAAAAAAGGAAGGAGCGAAAGCTTTAGGCTATAATCGGACTCACTCGACGAGACAGACAGAAAGAGAGAGAGAGAGAGAGAGAGAGAGAGAGAGAAAGAGAGAGAAAGAGCGTGGAAGAGTAGAGCTTTCCAGCTGAATCGACGTCGTGCTCTCGTGTGCCTCAGTGTCGACACGACTTTTTTTCGCTCTCTCTCTTTCTCTACATATATATCGCACACCTGCCTGGGGTACAACTGCGTAAGTACCCGGCGGCGTGCGGCTGTTACTTCCACTGATACTGCTGGCGCTGCTGCACTCTACGAGGAGGCAACATACATGCCTCACACACACGTTTACGCGTGCACTGGCAGTTCGTCGTCGTCGTCGGTGTGTGCGTCGATGACGCCGATGATAAAAGCGGATGACGATGGGTGTGGGATCGCCGCTGCACACGAGTTCGCGCTGAGTCCGAGCGAATACGTGCGGAAGCGACGTCGGGTTATGCAACGGCGACGAGCGCATGCCCGCGCGCAGCACATCGGCAGAGGAGCGGAGCCGACGCAGGCACACGCGCAGTCGAGAACCCCCGTTGAGCTGCGCTCGCTATAACACAGAGTCATGGGCGCACTAGTCGCATGGAGACGAGGCGGCGGCGACCCCTCCCTAAATGTGCGCCGAGATATACGCAGCAGCGAGCCAGACTATGTGTATGTGCGCACACAAGAAGAGAGTCTGGCGAATCAATATCTTGGTCCTTAGAGCAGCAGCAACCGATGCGTGCGTGACTATCTTAAACTGAGAGAAGCAGATACGAGTCCCTGCGCGCGATCGGAAACTGCAGCCCCGAGTAATCTGTGCGTTTGCCTCGTCGTTGTTTACCCGAAAGCTTGGCAAGCCTTGTGCACGCCGCTGAGCGAGTCTGTTTGAACGAATATGAAACCCTGCGGAGCTCCAAGGAGCTTGCGGCTCAAAGCAATTATCGAATGCTCGAATTCTGATTATGTTTGTACAAAGCCAAAATCGCACTTGTTGACAGACGTGCGCCGCTGCAGGCGGGCATGTGTAGCGCTACTGCACTGCCTTTTAGAACGTGAGCTTGAGCGCGCGAGACTCCGAGCTTTTATAAGACTACGTGACTCGACAACCTTACACAGTGCACGCGCGCATGAGGCATTGGAACGCGATGCAACGCTATCGAGTGTCGAGCTTCTTCATAAATCCCCGCAGTAATGCTATCTTACCATTGTCCTTTAGGATACGACGCTACGTGTGTGCCATTGTATCTACGCGCGAAACAAAGCTCCAGGCATCTGCAGCATTCAACTCGAAAATAATATTTTTCCTTTTAACTATCGTCCTCGCTCTACAGCGTCATTCTCGTGATTTTTCCGATTTATTCGAGAAAATGAAAAAAATTAATTATATACGTCGGTACGGCACTGCTTTATTTTTCTCCTACTCTTTGGCAGCCAATCGTGAAAAATCTTTCCACCAGACTGCTCTCGTTTTTTTTCTTCTTTTTCTCCGGTTTCTTCGGGTTCGATGCCTGATTTACGATCCTCTACAGATATCCGTATGCGTATGAGAGCTTGCGAATGATTAAACGTATCGTCATATGTCGCAGAATTAGCTGAATTATCGAGTACTAATTAATTATCGACATAAAACTACTCATAAATCTACAACATTTTATCCGTTCACATCCGAGGGCCCGGTACTATCGCATGTCAGTTTGACAAGCAGATAAAAATACGGGTGTACACACACGAACACGCGTACTCGTCGTATACTTGTGGACACGAAAGTTTAGGCAAACAATAAACTGTACAACCCCGATCTCTCCGAACGTTTGCTAAAAAAGATAAAACAGAAAAAAAAATAAAATGAAATTTATCGATCGTTTGTTTACTTGCAGATTCTGGTATCACCGATCTTGGCTGGGCTAGCAGTGGGCATTGGCGTGCCAATTCTGCTGTTTTACGTTTACGGCGTGGTGCCGGTCTCACTATGCCGAAGCGGAGGCTGCGGAGTTTCGACGAGCGGTTCCGGCGTCAGATTCGACTTCGACGACGAGAACGAGCTCATGGGAGCGCTCGGTGCTCGCAACACGGGAGGTACGTGCGCATTTTAATGCTGAATAAATAATTTTCAATTACGAGACGCGCAATAACCGTAAAATACGAATTAGCTCGTCCTTTTTTTCATTCTCAATTGTCCATACAGCCGAGCAAATATGAAGTTTCCCGGAGGCATATAAACTCGACTTAATTGCTTCAGTCCTAAAATCTACAGTATAACAACTTTATGTGTATATCAGTACGGCATTTGCATGAAGTGCATTAATGTAAATTGCATTCGTGCGTGAACGTAACGATACGCTCGAGTACACACCGAAACTATAAATGCTGTTATTCCGCCGTATTTATTTATGTGTACTAGCACTATCCATTGAAATGTCGATCTCGTAATTGAAATTCATATTTTTATTGCTATGCGATTCGGCGCGAACTTCGATTGACGATTATATATCACGTGTACTTGTTGACAGATGCAGCCTCGATCGATGTGGCCAGCCATCGCGGAGGAAATCCATCGATTGGCGAGGCTTCGCTCTCACTTGGCAGCGGTAGTCAATTGGAAAAACTCGGACGCGAAAACGACCTCGAGAGCGCCAGCATCGTTGCAATGGCTGGTTCTAGTATTGCGGGTAGCATCGCTTCGAGTGTTTTACCCGGTGGACAGAGGTATGTTCCATATACACATGACAATATTATCGATTCGATCGGTTCGATTAAATTGAAATTATTTTTTATTTCAGACTCGAAGTGCAGGCGGATGTGACGTCGTCGCAGCGTTTCAGTCTTTGCAGCGAGACAGCTTCGGCCACGACAAGTTTGTCAGAAAAGTCCGTCAACGCTTCGATCGCGTTGGACGACGGCTCTGCATCCACTCGTGCCTTGGCTGGTTCAGTTCTCAACATGAAACTCGACCCGACGAGTCGAAGCAGCAGTACTGAAGCGGCTGCCTCCATCAATTCTACTTCCGGGGCAACAACTTCAGTTCCCGCGCCAACGATCGCCTCGATGCATCAAGAATCGTCATCGGGACAGGCTACCTCGCTGAGTTCTCTCGAAGAGATGACTGCTAATTTGGCTAAACGCGCTCGTCGTCGACCAATCGGTGAAAAGCAGTCGACTCCGACGTCGCAGCAGCAGAGTAACAGTGAACCCGAAGATACTGGTAGTGAACGTGTGAGATTTGATCACCATGTCAGTTTCGTCGATGTCTCCGAAGAGTCTACTAAGCCGAGTTGTAGCGCATCTTCCAGCGCTGTTAGTAATCGAGGACCAAAAAGGAAAAAAATTAAACAGGATCAAATCGAGCAAGAGGAAATTCATCGCACTATGAGGTCACTACGTCGTATTTTCTCGTGATGATGAGAAAATTCGCGGCTGTGAGGTAGCTCGTGTTTTTTGGTTCTTTTATTTCACGTTTATATGTATTTCAAAGTTTTTGTATCTTCTTTTCATCTTCTTCAATTTTACCCTATATTATTAATTATTGGAATTTTGCTCTCTCAATGTTTATCAATGTTTATCCTGTGACTAACATATTTTCTCATCATTGCCTGCTAATCCAAACTTTTTGTCTGCTAACATGATAATAATAATAAATTCTTATCATTATAGATTTCCCACTAGTGATAAAAATTCACCTGACCTTGATGCAGATGAAAACTCTAAGGAACGTGTCAACGTCACGGCCCTGCGCAATGTTTTTTTCTATAACTCACCAACCTGTACAGATAAAGAGAAGAGATTACCGGTTATTGAGGAGCCTATTTCGATTTTGTCCCAAACTGACGTTGTACCGCATGATTCACAGCTATCAAGCCTTGATTTGAAATCAACTGAAAATTCCGATTGATAAAGTGTAGAAAAAAAATTGTTACTGAAGACTGAAAGAAATGTTGGTTAAGTGCATAAATTTAATTGTCTTTTGATAAAAATGAAAAAAAAAAAAACGAAATTTGAGTTATAAAAGTCGTCGCGATTAACGATTCATATACTAGTGTACATGTGATTGTACATGAACAGAATAGCATATAAATATAAATTTCATACATATTCATGTATGCATATGTATATATACATTGGTAAATATATAAATATATCTATACATTTATATATCTATATATACATATATCATCTTATGATAAATATATGAAAAAAATATCAAAGTGAGAAGTGCATTTTACAAAAATAACTCGTGTGATGTGATGAAAGAGTTAAACGACTACATGGAAAAAAACTACTAAAAACAATTCAAAGCTGTACTTGTATCAGTATAAAGTACCTATAGGATCAAAATGAAAATTTTTTATTGTAATGGTTCGTATTTTTAAATAATCGTATAAGTGCTTTATTGATTAGAAGCTATGCCTTTTACAACCTAGTAAAAACAGCTTGCAACAGATCTTTGCAACTTCCGAATACTTAGTTGTATTCAAGTGTATGAAAAGTATTTTTTCTTGTGTATTTGTTGATTCAGTTAATCGAGATTTGTACTTGATGGACCTGAACTTTTTATAAATATTTTTAAATTAAACAACGACATTCTTATCAAGTTTATGAAGTGCTATACTTGCCTTTCATAAGGTTTAGTAAAGTAAATCTCATTCAAAGTTTCAATCGAAAGCAACAAAACTGCCGCCTAAACGATGAAAGAACATAGTAAATATTGAAAATCATTGGAACGTATTGTAATTTATTAATAACGTTTCCTAATATATGTGAAAAGTGTAAAATAAGTTCTTGCAAATATAAAATATGCCAAGTTTTACAAAAAAAATTGTTTTTATTTACATTTATTGTGTTTTTAAAACAACAGCTAATGCATTTCATTATCTGTATTATAATCATAATGTATTCTTTCTATATAGATCTACTCAAAAAAATTGGAGACTTTTTTATGAGTTCGTCAACTTTAACTTTAAATAATTCACTCTGAATGGGTTCATTTGGCTCGCAAAGTGGATTTTTCATGACGTATTCTATGTAAACCTGTAATAAAATTCATGTACATATGATTTTAACAAAAACTGTACATAACAATCAAATAAAAGATAAATACAAACCTGGCTATACAATCTTTGTAAAAGTTCCCTCACATTTTGAGCCATGTTATCAGTATTAAGTACAAATTTTAATCCTGACGGAGTTTCAAAGTAGTGAAGGGTGTATTTGCTCGTTTTGTAATACAAAAAGCCTTCTTTGGGATCCAGAGGTGAAATTTTACTTGCAAATGATTTAATGGAAAACAGCATTCCATACATCAGTTTTGCCTCCTACAAAATTATTCTCAGAATATTAAAAATGAAGATTTTTCGCAAGGATATGTAGTAATGAAAAGAAGCTCTGTAACATAATTAACCAAACACTATCAAAAAATAGTTATTAAATGAAATTGAACATTAGTAGAACGAGTTGAAGGGATAAAAAATAAGTGAAATTTATGAAATGTGTTTTGTTTTGACAGTAACTTCAAAATCAAAACAGAATTCTAGGTTATGCCAGAGTAGTGCATAAATGAAATAGCTATTACTACCTCTTCCCGAGTCATGCCAGATTTATTTAGCCTATTCCATTCCGTGTAATACAGGAGGGTTCCATTTTTTGAGAAAATATATAAATTGTGAATTGTCATTCTTTTTCCTTTCCGCCGACGTAAACAGGTAGTTTAGCAGCCGACACACAGGACAACACTTCCGAATTCGACAACATTCAGCAAATAGCTGCCGTTTCTTGTAGGCGTATTTTTACGTGTTAGTGACGCGTAAATTTTTTTACTCAGCAAGTTGTGAGAAAGAAATTTATTACAATCTGATAATTGAAATATTATTTCAAATCTAAAGAAGAATGGGTTACTTGGGTTACTTTTTATACTTTATTTATTTGTTATTTTGAACATTTTGATAATTTAGAGGACAATAATTTTAATCGTAAGCAAATTTATATGCTTATAGGTACTTATATTAATTTTTCAATCAAAGTCCTTATAAACATAAATAATTATTGGAATGACAATCACTCTCACAAAAAATAAAGCTATAACAAAAGAAAGTGTCTTTATATGTGAATAATCTTTAGTATATCACTGTAGTAATATGAAGAATTGGCTTAGATGCCGTGTCAACGATCTCTCCGCTCAATGGGCGAATCGTGTTCGTGTTTACTATAAATAGACAAAAAAAAAACACATGGGGTTTCCAATTCTTTCGATAGATAGTTATTACACACATATAGGTATAAATATAAAATGAAAGAGCTGGAAACGACAATGTTATTATTTCACGTGGAACGACAGAGACTTACGCGAACGTACGAGCTTAGGCAGCGGCGAAAAAAATGCGTGAAGCCAGTACCCTATGGCCCTTCGTTCGTGCTGTATAAAGTGACTCGTACGCGAGTGAGATTGTTCAATTGATAGTGCATAGGAAATAGCGCAAAATGTCTTTTACAACAAAAAGAGTAGAGAGACAAATGAGCGAGGTGCATATCAGACTAATTCGAAAATGGTACTATGACGATGATCACAAGGTTGATGTACGTGAGAAAAACACTTCTGAATCGCTCATCTTTTAAATTGATTTGCAATACATAAGACTCGTTCATCTCATTATTAGGACGATGCAGAGAGTATAACTTCAATTACAAGCGTAGATGAATATTTAGAAGATGAGCTGTCTACTCCGTGGGAGTTTGCCTTGAAGACTACTTCCTATAACGTCACAGTCGGCAACGTCTGTCGATTTTTCTACCTCGCCCATCGAAATGGAGGAGGTATGTAAATTTAAATTATGCTCATATACTCGTTCACTTATCCAGTAGTAACAAATCATTTCTTTACAGGTTCATTCATAATTCCTTACGTCGTCATGATGATATTCCTGGGGTTGCCAGTGTTTTTTCTAGAAATATTGCTCGGACAGTACACCAAACGAGGCCCAATCAAAATTTTTGCTCGAATGGCCCCAGCTTTTAAAGGCCTCGGTCTTGCATCCCTTTTCGTACTGACAATCATTAATAGTTACTATATGGTATTGAATTCGTGGTCTTTTTATTACTCGTACAAGTCCATCGGACGCTATGGAAATCCCAACTGGACTCATTGCGACAGCCCATACAATACCGAATGTAAGTTTGATTGTAATGTTTTGAACCGAGTTCCAATTGACAGGCAAAGATGTAATCATTTTTTTTTAAGATTGTTACAGCAGTTTAAGGGCGCTTGAATGCCAGGAGGGTCATTTATATTATAATCGTTCGTGTACACCATTGATGAAAATATGCAAAGGGCTTAAATTTACGTCCTATTCGACCGCTTCGAAAAGCTGCTTAGATGAATCGGGTGCAGCTCATCCGATTCGAGAGCTTACACGACGCATATTATCGTCTGAAGAATTTTTTAAGTGAGTTTAATGGAAATGTCATCCATAGTTTCGACCATTTCCTAAATTAATTACTTATCATCGACATAATTGTTACAGCAATTATATTGCAGGAATAAGAGGAGCTACTTGGGAGCACTGGGGATACGTATGTCCCATACTATTTGCTATCGTCACCGGTGGATGGATGACTTGCTGCTTTTGCCTCATTCATGGTTACGGTACTGTCGGCAGGATACCGAGACAGAATTATCTTACAAGTTTAATGATGATATATGGGCCCTTTATTATGATTATCTTCGTTCTTCTGCTTGGTAAAATTAATCCTAGTAACATAAAAAATCTCACACGTTCAACCTGTATTTAATTTCAGAACATTTTTAATTTCTAATTTTTAGCCATATCATGGATGCCAAATGGCAACGGTTTCGCCTGGTTTCTCACCCCAGATTGGAAAGTACTGACCAGTGTGGGAGTTTGGGTTGATGCAGCCTCTCAAGTGATTTTCACTCTTGGTCTTGGTTGCGGCACTGTGTTCAATCGTGGCTCTATCAATCCTTTCAAAAGAAACTCTTATGGGTCATTATTTATTTACTTAATTAGTTTTGATTGTTTCCTTTTGTCACTTTTTTCACGATTGATTGTTTCGTTGTTGTTGTTTTTTGTTATTAGGGATGCATGCTGGATTGTCATCGTGGATATATTTGTCTCAATATTAGCGGGCTTCAGTCTGTCCGGGGTCTTAGGTTTCCTTGCCTATGAAATGGACGTCGAATCTAATATAGGGGAAATCGTTAATAGTAGCCCAGGTGTAGCTTATGTCGTATTGACAGAAGGCCTCAGTCGCATGTGGATGCCACGCTTTTTGTCAGCTGGATTCTTTGGCATGCTTTGTATTTTTGGGTTTTGCAACCAGGTGTGATTATAAATTATAAAAATTATAGCATTTCACGATTTGCAACTTTTAACACTTAACATATTTTCAATAAGTTCGAAGGTATTCAAACGTTGGCTGTATCAGTGATCGATATAAATCCACAATTCGCCTATAATAAAGAATATGTGTACTATATTATTTGTGTAATTGGTTGGCTGCTAACTATTCCAATGCTTGGTGGAGGCGGAATTTATCTATTTACCTTGCTGGAATGGAGCACGTCCAGTATGGCCCTATTATTCATTGTTTTCATGGAACTTTTTGTGTCCGGGTCGCTATACAGTTGCAACCAACTCTTTGAAAATTTGAGCGAGATGGAAATGAAGTTTTCGCCTTGGATTCGCACTTATTTGTCATTAAATTGGCGTTTCATTACTCCTATTTTATCATTAGTAAGATTTATTGTGTTTTTTAGTTGTATTAAAGAGTGTTACAATAATCTCTTTTTTTTCAATTTTCAACTAGGTTGTTTTAATTCTTCAAGTATTATATTATCTTCCATCTAGTTATGGATCATATATATTCCCAGATTGGACTAATTACCTAAGTTATTTCGTTAGTTCCTTAGCAATTTCGCCGATATTACTGGGATTTATTCATCAAATGATGACAGGATCGGTAAGCAATATACTCATACTTTTTAACTCTGTTAGTATCATCAATATGTAATTTTCATAGGCATCTGAAGAAAATTTATTCAAACCAAGTGTTACATGGGGTTCATACAAGAAAGCAAGAGAAGTAATGCTTTCAGTAATTCAACCTGCGGAACTTCGCTCGTTAGTAAGCTCTTCAACATCTCAAGCCTTACAATTAGTTGAAAGACAAGACCAAGAGCTAAGATCAAGAAGAAAAAAAGAAAAGAAGGTAGAATTCATTGAATTAGAGGACCTAAAATCAAAGTCAACTGAATCAGAAAAATCGAATGAAGTCATACCAACACCAGGAACGTCCATTTTATCCACAATATCATCACAAAGAAAATCAGAAATATCGAATGAAGTCATACTAACACCAGGAACATCCAATTTATCCAGAAGATCATCACAAAGAAAATCAGAAAAAACGTATGAGGTCATGGCAATTACAGAAACATCCAATTTATCCAGAAGATCATCAAAAAAAAAAAAGATCTGATTTAAAATTATCGAAAACAAGAGTATGTGGAACAATGACACCGTACTCGGACAAAGTTGCACCCCTTGAACAAAAATCTCGAAAAAATTAATCAGAATCATCATCGCCCAAAATCTAAAAAATGTGGGATATTACCATAACATTTGACCTGATATAAAAATCGATGAATGTAAAACGCGCTGCTATTAAAAAATCGAAATTTACTTAAGAACGGAATTCAAGCCTTTACTGAGCTTGAATTAAAAAATAGTTTCAAAGAAGTTTTTGACATTAATGTTCAATTTGTAAGAATGAGTTAAAGATACTAGATTTTTTCATTAGTGATATATTTGCGAAGAAAAATATTAGTTTGACTGTTTAAGTGAAGCAGAATATTCAACAATGTATAAGTACAATTTTTTTCACATTCAAGGGCAAGGAACGATAAATGTTTCAGGGACAGTTTTAGTCCATGTCGCTTTTGAATACTTTTGTTATATTAGAGTAAATAAATTTAATACTAGGATCATTAGCTTTTAAATTATGTGTTGAATTAAGTATTTTATAAAGCAAATTTTTCTATAATAAAGACTTGCAGAAAGAAACTTGTACATTGATACGTTAACGGTTAAATTACAACTGCATGCATTGATGCTCTAAAGTATCGTAAATTAAACAAATAAAAGAGGATCTATTAAAGTATATAGAAAAAAATTATGATTTATAAGGAGGTTTCCAAACATTGCGGAAAAAAGTAATGTTTAAAGCAATCGTCAAAAATTTTGTTTAACTAATGAATATTTACATTTGTCACTTATTCCGCTCGTTTTACTTTACTTTTGCACAAAAAAAGACTTTGCGTCGATCGCAACTATTTCTCAAGTGGTATATTTTTAAAAATTGACGCCATTAAGTGTCATTCATTATTGTGTAGGTGTGTGTGCGTGTGTGAGTGCGCGCGCGCGCTCGTGTTTGTGTATGTTATGTAATTTTTTAAACATCAATTTAATAAAAAGAGTTACTTTTCACACATCAATAGTCATCATTTCAAAAATTTGTAAGAAACGAACGAAGGTAAAAGAAGTGTTATAATTTTCTCTCATTCACTTTTAATTTTAATTGTAAAACTAGAAGGAACTTTTTTTGAAGAATTGACTGAAAAATAAAATTTCAATGTAAATTCCGATGTCTAGAGCGTTGACGCGTTTTGAGTGAGTTCAAGTCAGCTTTTTATGATTAGCGAACGAAAATAAAGCTCGATTTTGGGAAACTCAATCATTCTTTTAATCCCGAAGAGCTATAAATAGAAAATAATTTTAATGCTTAGCCATGCGCATATTTTTATCACGCGAAGCCTGAAAAAAGTTGTTTCGGAGCCCAGAAGTGGGAAATAAGTCATTGATATAAAAATACCGTTAGCGCCACCGGAGAAAGTCGGTCGTTCTCTCCCTCTCAGAGAAAATATCAAAAATTCGCGAAAAGCCATGGTTTCGTGGAGGAGCTCGATCGGCAATTGGTGACAGACGTCGGTGATGGAAATGCAGCGAACGATTAGCGAGATCGAGCCGAGTGATAATCAAGCTCGACACCGACACGGATCGGCGTAATACGCACACTCTTATCCGTGCACGCGTGTTTGACTACGTCAGAAACGTAAACATATATATAAATCGATCGAGTGTATGAACGTAGAGCGGTAGCTCGAGCTCGTCCGTGTGTATGAGCGATGTGCGTATAGGTGACACACTGCCAAGCTACTACACGGTATATGACTTATTATAAGTTTCAGTATTATCGTTGAGAACAGATCGTAATCACGGGCATCATCAACACCATGTCTGTGCTTTACGAGTACGCTAGAACCTCGGCGGCGGTTTGTTTCAAAGACCATCAGTTGCAAAAAATGCAGCGCCAACATCATCATCATCAGCAGCAGCAGCAGCAGCAGCAGCAACAACAACAACAACAACAACACGAGCTCCAGAGAAAACACTCGATCATCAGAGACACCGACTTACCCAAAGGATACAATAAGGTAAGCCGATCTCGTTCAGCCACAATATAAACCGATTGGTTTTTCGCTGCTCGCGCTTTTTTTCGCTCGCTCAAAAATATCAAAGGTAGTTAAAAAAGTGAAGAGAAAAAGAAAAAAAGTATGGAAACTCGTGCATTTAAGCTGATCGTTGCTGCGAGCGCATTCGTACGCGTGGGTGTGTGTGTGTGTGTGTGTTTTTTTACTCAACAACGCAATAATTGAGCCGCTAATCTAGTTAATCTGTACGTGCAACAGAGTCTGCCTGCCTGCATTTAAGCTGCTTTGCGCATTGCGCGTCGGCCGCGCGAAATCTATATAGCGCGCGAGGCGCGATTATAGCGACGCGATAAGTCGCCAACGAGTACTTGGGCAAATATGTATCTGGAAATGCCGATCGTAAATTGATAATGGACGATTCAATGATTTTTTCTCGGGAATTTTTTTTTATTTGTTCGTGCTATTAACGATTTTATTTATAAATTGCAGAATTAAATTTTTTTTCTCTCGAAAACACTGTTCAGTCAATTTACAAGCGATAATATTCCAGTAAATTTGAGCTCTAATCGCGATTCACTCAGTCTAAAAGCGCATACATAATAACACAGTGAAGATACATACACAATAAAGGGAAATGATCTGCATTGATAATGATTTTCTTGCGATAAAAGCTCAACTACAACGCGAACAATGTTACACGATATAATAATGTAGCGTACGCACGCACACACCAACACACATAATACCCACACGGCAGAGATTATCACTATTATTAGTCTCTTTCAGCGGCAACACATATAGGAGCGCGCGTCGCAATGCGGGGCTAAGTGTCGAACAAAACGTGTTTGGCTTTTCCATATTTATTCATCATGCGTAATACATTACGTGTAGCGCGTCGGGCGCATAATACACAAGATTTACCCTGCACGTGCATAGCTACGAGCTTTCGAAATTGTTGATGAATATTTTATGGATCTTTGTTGCGCCAGACTCTTTACAATGGTGCATCGTCGCTCGGACCTTTACTTGTATATCCTAATTAAAACCGAGCCCCATCCAGTTGCATTAGTCGCAGCATTCGCGCATAGGACTGCAGCTCGCTCGAGGCTCTATGCGGATGACTTTAGCGAGCCTCGTGGAGTTTGCGATGTAATTTCACGCTGCATATTCAAACAATATGGGATGTCAAATTTGCAGGCGAAGCGACTGTCGCTCGGCGTCGGAGGTGCATTGGTGGAGCTGCCGCTGGAGCGTCCGGGCTGGGCCAATCCGATCGAGTTCGTCCTGTCGTGCGTCGGCTATGCCGTCGGAATCGGCAACGTCTGGCGATTTCCCTTTCTCGTCTTTCGCAACGGAGGAGGCACGTATAACCTTATGATATGTACGGAATGCGAGTGTCTGGCTATAATAACGTATGCGCGCGTTCCTACCATCGCAACTCGTCTTTGGCTACGTATCGCACAAATGCATCCTGTGCAATCATCGTCGCAGACCTTTGACCGGTATTGCGCGTTGAATTTTGAGAATATTTGCGGCTCAGTTCATTGAACGTCGCATGTATAATGTGTAGCGCTGGGCGCAGAAGCTGCCGGAGGGAGGTGTACAGCGTGCCTGCCGGGCTGCCTGCCCGCCCGCCTGTGTATATGGCCGCGTATAGTAGGTCAGGACACAAGGGTCACATTGTCTATGCAGGAGCTCCATGCAATTTGGCGACAATTCGCGCGTGCAGCCCTGCGATGTAATACAAGCCCGGAGCAGGCCGCATCGATGCAACGTTTGATGCGCTGCTTGTCTCGCGCTGACGGATTGCCTCTCTGCCCACCGACGTTTGCTTGTACCATTTAAATCTACGACTTTCCGAGATTGACGCCGCGTATATCCAACTTCCACTTTTCATTGATTATAACGCTTGGATTAAATTGCGTAGGTGCTTTTTTGATACCGTTCACGATTATGCTGCTCGCCATGGGACTGCCAATTTTTTTCCTCGAGCTCATCGTCGGCCAATACTCGAGGGTAGGCCCGACCAAGGCTTACGCCAGGATGGGCCCGATTTTCAAGGGCCTCGGTTACTCGACCATCGTCGTCATAAGTCTCGTCAATATTTACTACATGGTCATTGCCTCGTGGACGTTATTTTACACGTTTGCCGCCTTCGCGAGCAAACTCTCCTGGGCTTACTGCGACAACGAATTCAATTCAATTAGTAAGTGACGATTATCGGCAGCTCAAATCTGATTAATCGATGCATTAATAATTTGTTCAGATTGTTACAGCGGTCTACAAGAAGCCGAATGCCAACAAAATCTCGGCCCGAGTTATCTATTTTACAATCGTACCTGCGTCCTGATGGATAATATTTGCCAGGATTTCGGCTATACGAGCCGTCCCGGAAATATGACGCACTGCTTCGACGAGACAGCGAGTCCCATCGGGTCTCATCTAGTGCGAAATCTCTACGAACGAATACTCTCGTCCGAGGAGTACTTCAAGTTAGTCCCTCTTTTGCACTTGAAAAATTTTCCTCGGTATAATTTTCACGCGAGCGCAGCTATATTATATTGTGTGAATTAACGACTAAACGCGTCCCAGGTATTACAATTATCTCTCGCCGAGTAAACGACGAGCAAACTTTTACATAATGAAAGAAATTGAAGAAGTAAAAGTAGGAGCAGGAGCAAATAAAATGCACAGTGTGTGCGTGCGGCGCGCAATTTTATCTGTATATATGCTAGCTAGCAATTAACCGCGGCGATGGTCGTTACAGCGATTACGTTCTAGGTATACGAGGAGCTACCTGGGAGCACTGGGGCGGTCTGCGCTGGGAGCTGCTCGGCTGCCTCACCCTCTGCTGGATAGTTTGTTATTTCTGCCTTCGCAAGGGTATACATTCTATAGGCAAGGTTGTCTATTTCACTGCCATTTTTCCTTACATTGTACTAGTGGCTCTTATGATCAGAGGTAACTTTACATTTCATTTTTTTTTACTTCGCACAATTAAACTAAAAAGTAATCACGAGTTCGATTTAGGTGCAACTCTGGAAGGCTCTTTGGACGGCATAATGTGGTTTATCACACCGAACTGGTCATCGCTGACCGATGCAGGAGTCTGGGCTGACGCTGCATCCCAAGTCTTTTATTCTCTAGGCATTGGCTGCGGTTCTCTCGTGACTTTAGCGAGCTACAGCTCGTTCGGAAACAACTGCCACAGGTTATTTACATTTCCCATCTGATTTTTCTCTGTTTCTCTTTTTTTTTTTATAAATTGTCACGTAGGCGACACATGATAACGATACCGATGTAGGGATATTCGTACTCATGATATTACCAAGTACGAAAAAAGTAAAAAAAAAAAAAATAACTCGTTCGGTACTTTTGGGAATCAGCGCTGTCCGTTGTCGATTTTTTGCCCTTCATCACAAAGTTAAAGTTACGAAGAATAAAAATGTGAAAAAAACGAACAAAATGAAACAAAAAATAGCCTCAAAGTTTAAAACATCGATACATATTTTCCACTCGACTTCAACGGTGGAGCCGGCGCTGGTACGAAGCCTTTTATTTTCTCTATAAATCTTTCAATCTCGCACAGAGTTGTACAAATAGTTCTTCGTGCTTTTCTCACTCGCTCTTTCTCTTGTTTTTTCTCCTATTTTTATTTCATACACATCGTGTGCGTGTCCGCTGCACCGACTTGGCGCTCTCAACTTTTGCACTGCAGCCGCACTCGCGTCACGCGAAATTTTTCTCACTTAACTTTCGAAGCTTCGCTTGTCAATTGCGTGTAATTTGTCAGTGCGCTGCGCTGTCGAACGCAATTGCTCTGACCAGTTTTCGTTGCACTAGTCGAACGGAAATACGTTTCATTAGCGAAGAGGCGCTCATTCGTCGATGACTCGACGATTGAATAACTGTGTTATTGCTCATTAATAGAAAATCGCATCAAGGCGCGCAGTATCATTTACGCAAACGTAATCGAAGCGAGTGCGTAGCACAAAGCACGTGTAATCCAGCGATTTAATGCCATTTCGGCCGTGAGAGCCAGCAAATACGCTAAAACTATCGAAATGTCATAGATAAACGCTGATGCCATTAGGCCAGCTTGTTGCGAATGCACTTCAATTATATCACCAACTTTAGCGTGCGATTTTCTCTCGGCTTTATAGCGTATGCAGCATGTTTTAGCGACGAAAACGAAGCTCGAGAGAAAAGGGGATAAATCGAGATTCGTGAAAATGACTCGATACGAGCACCGTGACTGACTCTCTCTATACAGACGTTCTCTCTTTCTCTCTTGGGGTGTGTATGTGTGTTGTAAATACGTGTTCAGCATTTTGTGTTTTTGTCTATAACAGCTCTCGAGTCGCGTATACACACAAAGACGCGAGTACGTGGAAATTTTCACGCGCGTGTGACGTTCGTGTAATTTTATTTCATTCTTGGCTACCCTCCCTCCCTCCTCCTCTCTTTCTCCCTCCGGCCCCTTTCACGCGCGTGATAAATTATATCATTCATAATTTAAAGTCACTTCAAAAGCGCCAAAGTTCCCATTACTCAGGGACTGCTAGCACGCACGCGTCTATGCCCTTAACTAAAGGTATGACAGGTCGCAACTCACAGCTGCAATAGCATCGAGGATAAGAGATTCCAAGTCGGAGATGGCATTCACGCGCGTGTCTAAATTATAAACTCGAAATGACGTGTGTTGTCGTACATTGCAGGGACGCGATATTTGTGACGCTGACGAACTTGCTGACCTCGGTGTTCGCGGGACTCGTGACGTTCTCGGTCATGGGCTTCCTGGCCAAGCAGATGGGCCTGGAGGTCGAGGAGGTGGTGCGCAGTGGAACGGGCCTGGCTTTCATCGTCTTTCCCGAGGCCGTCGTTCGCATGCCCCTGCCGAACATCTGGGCTTTTTCCTTCTTTTTCATGCTCTTCATTCTGGGCCTCGGTAGTCAGGTGAGTTTTACGAGCGGATAACGTCCAGATAATGCACGTAGCGAGCTTGCCAGTGCTCGAGGGTAAATAGCTTATCGCTCGTTCGCCTGTGACTGACTGACGTTCGTGCGCGCAGAGATGAAAATTATGAACCATGATTCGCAGTTTGCCGGCGTGCAAGCGCTCAGCAGCGCAGTTTTGGATTTTCGGCCGCAGTATCGCTGCCACGAGTCGAGAGTCTATCTCGTCATTTGCGTGCTCTGCTGGCTTTTGGCTATACCGATGGTCTTCGACGGCGGCATCTACCTCTTCACCCTCATGGACTGGAACAGCGCCAGTTGGGCCGTGCTGCTGATCGGCTTCGTCGAGCTGACTCTTCCCGCCTGGGCTTACGGATGCAACAGGCTAATTGAAAACTTGGACGAAATGAACATGAGCTTTGGACCGTTTCTCAGGGCTTACTGGAAATTCAGCTGGGCCGTTCTCGCCCCAGCTTCTGCCTTGGTAAGCTATTCTATCGATGCCTTTCTATGATTCACGGAGCAATGCAACCATTTCATATCTTTCTCTTTTTACAAATTCACAGGGGGTTTTCGCTTATCAGATGTACACTTACCGAATGGCCAGCTACGGCGACTACAGATTCCCTTTCTGGGCCGAGATGATCGGTATTTTAATCGGCTTATCGACCCTAGCGCCAATACCGATTGGCGTATGCCATAGGCTGCGTTCCGCACCGGTGAGTATATCTTGGCTATAATAACGACCGACCGCAAAACTTTGCCCCTTGCATCTTCGCCTGTACATAATTTACATTTTTTTGCATTGGCTATGCGCGCCTCGGCGTCTAATTCAATTCTCGTCAATTATCATCTTGGGGCACGTGGTCTGATTACAGAGAAACTGGAGCAGTTTGTTCGGGCCGACGGCGTCTTGGGGTCCGACGAAGAAGCTGCAGCTGAAGCAAGTAGTTGCGACCGTCTACCAGCCGGAGCAGCCAGACTCCGACAAACTTGCTGCGAGCAGCGTAGCCAATGCCGGCAGCGTCGCAGCCGTCTCTAATCCAGCTTTTTCGCAGGATTCGCAAGTTTGAAAACGGGAGTGAGTCGGTGAGCGAGAGAGGGCGAGAAACGGTGACAGGGAGCTTGTATAATGAAAAGCGACGGTCCAACTCACTCGCACTAGCTCGAGCCAGAGCCTTTCTCGAGGCTCCAGACTATATAATACATACATATAGTTATATATACGTATGACTGAGAGGGGATGAAAACTCGCGAAATTTGCATCGATGTTCCATTGCAGCCTGTGAGAATATTTGCGCTCGCAAGGAAGGCTTTGATTAAATGCTAATGGAATAATTCGATTTCTCTTTCTGCCTCACCCTCTCACTCGCTCTCTCTCTTGCTCTCTCTCTCCAAGCTAGCTCTCAAGTGCGCCAGCTTTGTGTATACTGTATTTCGAATAGGTTTGACATACATTGTGAATATTTACTGTAATGACGAATCGGGTTTCCGATTCAGACACACGCTGTATATTTTGTTATATTATACTTTTATTTGTACGTGGTAGACATGTACGTATACTTTCGCATATGCTTATTAAATATTTTTCTATCAAGAGGAGGAGCTATCAATTCTCGCATGTAAAATACCCTCGAAACAACGACCCAAGCCCCGAAACACAGACACTTATCGTCGCACTTGTCGGCTTCAAACTTTACCAACGCAACATGATCATAGATACCCAAAATATGCTGCGAGACAGAAGTCGTAACGGTGGCATTTGCCACATTTGGTATCAGCTGCTATCTTATATGCGTTAAAGCAAAACTCGCTCGAGCTTACTCTCTTTATTAGGCGAGGCTTGCATGCATGGGGGACCCATTTCAGCGAGTAAATATTCGCGAAACTCTGCGCGTTTGCGTGCACCGGGGTATCTTGCAGCGGACAATTGTTGCTGTTACTGTAGTCGGTGTTGTTGTATTTTCAGCCTCCGCGTATACTTGCTAGATGATAATGCGACCAAGTCGCAATGCCAAGCTAATCAACGAGCGGAGTACGACGCACGAACTTTGGATGTACTACAGAATGAAAAATGCAGGTCGATTCTCTGTCGAGATTTTTTTTTCACCTGATAATAAAACTCTTTCCTTGGAATTATCAGTTGCCGCTCTGCCTCCCATAATATCCCGGCAGACTCTATATTTATCAGGCTTTAGCGTGCCGTATCGTCCCTTTATATTCAGTAAATGCACGATGATACGCGCGAGATTGGCCGACGAAGCATAAAATGTGTACATCATCAAACTTGGCGTACTCGCTGCGCTGAAGCATCGTGCAATATACATGATCTGTGTATGCGCGAAGCCTTGTAAAGACACAGTTTTCGCTCGATGTATCGCACGCACGCGCACACGATATCAAGCTGCGCTTTTATTCGTTGATTTTTAATCAACCCTTTTTTTCCCGTTCGCATTATGACAGCCGCCGCGTGGACGCGTGAAAGCTCTAAAGCTTAACAGAGTAAATTAAAAGTATGTATGGGCTGGAGTGCGCCGACTCGACCGTGACACGTAGCCAAATGCATGAGTTTCTCTCTGTCGATAGTTGCATTCAATGGATCAGAGTTGAGCTTTAGCCTTTCTATTGTCAAGTTTTAATCCGAGCTCCATTCAGGACTATAAATAAATTTATTTTTCTACATAATTTTAGTGTTACAGAAATAATGTGATTTAATAGGTCGCCTATTTTCTGAAAGATCTATAAATAATTATACGACTTGACTTGATGGATCGAAAAAGATTGTCTTCGCGCTAACAAACTGAACCTTGGGCGTTGGAAATTTTTGTAAAATACTCGAGTCAAATTATGTTTCGTGCCAGTAAGCGCTCAGTTTTAATTTTACTCCATACGCAATTGCAGTTGTATGGCAAACAATCTGTGCAGAGTTGCGTGTGCATATTTAATGCGAGGACCCTGTATTATTCCTGAGTGTGTATGTATACGCAATTGAGATCGAGCAACGTACACAAGAGCGATACAATGAAAGCTCGCACAGAAGGGCGTGTATCTATATTTATATATAACTTGGCTCTATATAAGTGAGAGAGCGGCGGAAAGCTCGAGTTTTACGATATACGCACTTGTGTGTGTGTGTGCCCGTAGTGCGCATAGCGTATAGTGCAAGCGAACTGCGAACTAATTATGCAAATTATTCCGATGAGAGGAGAGAGAAAAGGACGAGTTGCAGCTGCGTGCGTGCGGTAGCCTCTGCATCTCGTTAGAGACTCTTACTACTGTACACATGCTGCAGTTATACACGCTAGAGTTGCGTCGTTGCTTCAACAAGCCAAAGACTCCAGGCAAGCAACAACGCCTACGCACTTGTACGGCTGTTATAAATTATGCAGGCGCATACAAAGCCTGAATCGATAATGCGCGGCTCAATCGCTCGGACCCCGTGTAATAATGCATCGATCGAATCGTGCGCGTCTGATTTTTTCATCTGCTCCACCCTGTCCTTTACAAGTCGAGAGAATTTAATACGATTAATGACGATTTTTGTCATTGTTCCGATTAATAAAGCAAATGGAGTCGATCGTTGCCGCTCGAGAGGTTCGCAATTGCAACTTTGATGAGAAATACAATTGAAAGGCAATTCGTTATTAATAATTTTGCTTTCATGTATAAAATGGAGCATTTCATCGATTGTAATACACAGGTTAATACGTGCAGCGCGCGTCTACGTACGCGTGGGTATTATATCGATGCGAGCTTGAGCGGAACGTTTATACACACTGCAGCACACGACGGTGCTGGCGTACCTGTATAATGCGATTTGCCCACGAGTAAATTCAACTTTTTTAACGATTTCACATAAGCATGAACTGCCAGTGCCATTCCTGCCTCTTATATACTAGTCTTACACTCCATCGTTCGGGATCCTTCTTGCGTCGAGCCCTCTGTACTGTGCAGACTGCAGTGCGGGGAGAAGAGCAAGTTTCAAATGGAAAAAGTTGCATTCAACAGGAGCTTGCGCATAAGATAGAAAAGGGAGAAAAAGAGCGAGAGAGAGAGAGAGAGAGAGAGAAAGAGCGATGTTGAAGTTCTACCCCAGAGTATAAAAACTTCGATCAACAAAAAACATACGCTTTTGCGAGGAGGAACTGCAGAAGCAGGAGCTTGCGACACTTTTCCTCTTTCTCTCTTTCGAAACGAACCCAATGCGAATAAAGTATAAGCTCTCCCCAAGAGAGAGAGAGAGAGAAAGAGAGGGAACCGCGGGAAAATGTTACCACGGACGACTGAACGTAATGATTCCAGCCGATCCGAGCCGAGTGAGCTTCTCCGATATAGATATAGAAATACATAAAAGGGAATTAGAGAAAGAGAGAGAGTGGCAAAAGTAGTACAGGTATAAAGAATTACTGACTTTTGATTAACTGTGAATTACATCGGCCAACTTCCAAGTCAAAGGCATTATTTATTCCATCTGGTAGCATCCACATGGCAGTACAGTTTGTATTGCTCTGTCAACTTTTTTTCTTCGTCTCTGTTCCTCCTTTCTTTGTGCAATCTTCGACCATAAAAAATTAAATTCGCCATCGCAAAAGTTATGAATTATAGGCAAATACGCTTTAAATTGACTCTTACCAGAATAAGAGAAGCTCGAGAGCACAAATTCGATTAAGTTATCAAGGAGACGATGTCGAATAGCAAATAGCTTGAAATTCTTCCATTACATTTTATTTGAGGAGTGGGTTCGCTTCTTTACGCTGTTTAACTTTTAACATAATGAACTGCCCTGCATTAAATATTGCTACTTGTTACGATACCTGAGTCTGTACGTATGATCGATTCTTTGTTAAATCGAGTCAAGTGAACTTTTATTACAGGTAGACATTTTCAATTTATACAAGTTATAGCAGAAAATGCTCTTCTTTGCAAAGTCCTGAGTTGAACTATTATTTCAATTAATTAAACAATAATGAATACACGTATGTACATTTTACAAATGTCTCGAAAAAATATTCTTTGTATTTATTCCCAAAATTTGAGAAAAAACCCTATTTTCGATTTTTTTTATGTTTCATCTTCGGTCGCAGCTAAATCGATATATTTATACTGTTTCATCTTAATAGTACAAGCTTAAACAGTACTAGCTCTGTTTACACAATTTTACTTAAAAAAAACTCAGGTCAACCTGAGTTTCAAAGTTGAATAACTGATTTTTTATACAGTGACTTTGCATTAAACGAGTTTTTTTTCTAAACAGGCCTTTTTTAAACAGAAAACATTAATTGAGCTTGCGATGGTTCAGCTGCACTTGTACAGCAGTGAACTGGTAAAACTGCTTTGGTAGAGCTAGTATAAATGAATAAAGGCAAAGATTTTAAGAAATTAAGAGTTTTATGATCATGTGTTTTTCAAGTACAGGTTTCTTTCTTCGTAAGTTGACGTATACTTTTAAAGCTCAAGGACTTCTGAAACCTAAAAGATGTGTAAAATTTTTCTCTGACTGTTTATTTGACAGAGAATTAGCCATATACGTATTTATTCTATTATAAGAACTTGGAATGGTAAAGTTGAACGAGGAAATACGGCAAACGCATAAATACTCTTGGTGTGTGCACGAATGTAGCTAATAAAGCTTATTCTTCGATGTATCATCGGATTAATTAACTTTGTTGCGAGTCACGAGCGAGTGTTACATTATCTATGCCAGAGAGCGGGAGAAATAATTATAAATGCACCTACCCGTATAGTTTATATATAGGGTACAAGTAGATGCGTACAACATTGACACGTAGTGAGCACGCGGCTATATATGTGACTGATTATCCAAACAAACGCGTCAAATGAGACCAGACGCGCGCGTTGAGAATTGAATAATGCGGCGCAGTGCGCACTGCGTCGCGCCTATACGGCCTTGCAATTCCCTGCTTATAGCGAGTACTATATGTGCGCTCTGCGCCAGTAATAATTGCCATGGCACTTCGTAATTTAAGCGTTACTATTCGGCGCGCAGACAATAAGCATTGCCGGAGTCGTTTTTTTTTGTCGCCGCGCCAAAGCTGCAGCGCAAAACTTTGGGAGAAAGGAGACGAAACACGTAGCGGCATAGCAATATAAGCGAATGCATTTCGGCGTGTGCGGCGGTGGATATGGCATCGTACGGACGGCAGGTGCAGTTAATGCCACACACGCAGCGCGCATATACACACAGCCGCCAGAGATAGCTCGTAAAGAAGAGAAAGCAAAGCCACATCAGTGCGTGCTAGTTAGATTATGAGCACGCATATACACGTATATAGCTTTCGGTTATTCTCGCGCACGGCTATTGCAACCCCCGTGCAGTCGCGCAAGTGGCAATGAGACTCGAGACTCGCCCGAAATTCGGTCGAGCAAGTCAAATGACGGGCCGATGCTTTTGTCGGCTTATCCACTGATTTTTAATAAAGTATTTATTGGCTTTATTATTTCACGAGTGGTGCTGCGCAGTGAGATGAATAAGCGAAAATATGTCGTTTCGTATTTCTTGAAACTTTCAGTGCACTCATCGCGAGAGCTAATATTACTCCTCT